TCTAGATTTCAGGATCCACAGACTGGACACACTTTCTGAGGAATTTGGCTTCCTGATGTGGAGTTTTCCTGGAATTTAGTGCAGGTAAGATAAGAGTATAAGAATAACCACTTTGTTCCAGCTATGGAATAACCTTAAGCGTTATTCTTTCTACCTGTATGAGAAATGTATGCATAGGACAGCTGTCCTAAATTTTGACTGTTCATGTATGTAAAAAACCTGGCTTCTGAGTCACTTGAGTCACTTGCAATCTCATGTTTGTTGAATTTTCTCTAGTTTCCCTTTTTCTTTTAGCAGCAACTTTATTATCTAAGAATTTCCAGAAGGCTAGCCATGTTAGTCAGTTGCAGAAAAAAATAACAAAATTTTGTGACACCCTGAAGGTAGATACATGCACGGGGAGGGATTATTAAAAAGCAAGGTCAGAAAGAAATGAAATGCAAAAGGTTAGTCAATAGTGTCAATAGTGTTATTAGGAACGGATATTCATAAAGCTTCCCTCCCCCTAATAACACAAACATCCTGGCATCTCTGTAGGCCATCCCATAAGTTAATCTTAAAATAACTAAATTTTTATGATTTGTATTTTCATTTTCTAAATTTCACAGTTTCACTTTGGAAATTGTGTAAGTGTTGTATATGCTAGCAGTGAAATATGGAGGTCTGGTACACTTTATAATGCGCAACCAAAGAGAATGCATTTATTTTAATTTGGCACTTAAATGAAATCTGAAGACTTTTATAGAAATTACTTAAATTTCCATCTGTGCTGAGGGCTAAATCTGAATTTTGTCTGAAATAATTCATTTTAATTCATAATTGATGGGAATCCAGACAACAAGGATTTTGGTGCTTAGGATTTTAGTGGCAAAACAAGGCACTTACTCTTTGCAGCCAAATCCTATTCATGCTTGCTCAGAAGTAAGTTTTAAATTAATTCAGTGGTAGTTGCTTCCAAGGTAGTTGGGTGGTGCTTTTAAGGATATTTCTTCTGAGTAAAGGTATTTACTGTTAACCCTTAATAAAGGGTTAAGAATTCATCTTTTGTTTCAGATGCAAAATAATATTTGATAATACAGGCTGTTTGGAAAAGAATGTATGTTGCATACATAACAATTTGCTACAACCACAAGTGGGTTTCTTCTTGTGAAAAGGGACTTTCCACTTGCCCTGTCCTGTTACAGACACTTGCGCCTATGAAAACCATTCCTGATGCTTGGAGACCTATGGAAATGATGTGGCAGAAGGGGCTGGCTGCCAGTGGAACAGGGGTTCAAAAGATATTGAAGATCTTACTGTATAAGAAGCTTTTGTAGAGTTACTTTGGATCCAGTTCATAGTTCTTCTGTTTGGTTTTGAAATGTCTCAACCAGTAGAGTATGCTAAAATTATTATCTATACCAAGGATATTGCTTAGTACAAAAGGTATGAATCTTTTATTGATTTTCTTTCATCCTTTTAAATAGCAAGGCACTTTCACCGTGGACAGTTAATTTTAACTTCTAGAATTTCTCTTTCAAATATACCGTATTTTTTGCTCTATACGACGCACTCCCCCCCCCTCAAAAGTAAGGGGAAATGTCTGTGCGTCTTATAGAGCGAATATGTGTGTGCAGTAAGTCTGCCAGATGTGCAGCCCATGGGGAAGTGATGGGGAATGTGCCTGTGATTATGTGCCCATTTGATTCAGAATATTTTTTTCTTGTTTTCCTCCTCTAAAAACTAGGTGCGTCTTATGGTCAGGCGCGTCTTATAGAGCGAAAAATACAGTATTTGATTTCTGTCTTGGCTGTTATGTGCCAAAGATACCTATAAGAAACTGTTTTAAAATAACTAATTATTACTCTTAATTATCATCTGTCTGCCTCTGGCTAAATTGGTCCAGCAAGCCAAGATTGCTCTGTAGACCTGGGATCCTCCATGCCACATGTTGGCATGATACAAAGCAGCTTCTCCCAATTTGGTGTTTTGGACAACAACTCCCAGCATTCCTTACCACTATCCATGCTAGCTGGTCCTGAGGAGAGTTACACTCCAGAACATCTAGCTCTCAAGACTGTTGGGAGGATAAAATGGGCAGAGGAGGGATACAATAATATCTTGAGTTCCTGGGATACAAGTTGGAGTAACTACAATTTATATTGCCCTATACTGGTTCTCCTGAAATGGACCTAGGACAGATAATAGCTGAATGTATATTGGAGGGAAAATGCCGTTTCAGCAGCAGCCTTCTCCTTCCACCTAGAGATCAACAGAGAGAAGCAGTCTGTCACATTGCTGCACCCATGTAATTTTTGTAGCGTGACTGTTGCCTTTTTATGATGGATTCTCCCTGACACTACATGAGGCTTTCAGAGCTGCCCACAACCTTGAGAAGGGGACCTAGAGGCCACGTGGATTTGGATTTTGGATCCAAAGCATTTGTGTTTATGATACATCTTGGGCAAAAGACTATAACAGTAAATTATTAACTCTGCTGACAAATTAAACCTAAGCAAATTTATGCATTTATCTTTGTCTCCTGTTTGTACCATGGCAGCAACTTACAGTGGAATAACACTGTTCGTTTGTAGCAGTAAAGACAATGAGGAAGTTTATTTCATCAGACTCTAGTTCATGAACCTTGTGCCAGGATAAATCTGATAGTCTTTAAAGTGCCACTAGCCACATCATTTTGGGTTTCTTCCCACAGTTTTTCCTGTTACTACTCTTTCTTTTAATAAGAAATGTGTCTGAGCAAGCATGTTCAGACATGCACACTTTCTTTTAAAAGGGCCTTTTCCTGAAGTCAGCCTAAAAGAAACCAAAATGTGTCCACCTTGACATGGTATATAATTGTTTTAGGCTTTCAAAGTGTCTTGTTTTAAGGTGCTGAATCTAAAGTTGCATATCTCTCTGGTCTAATTAAAGAGAAGCAGGTGTGACAATTAAGAAGTAGTTCTTAATAATCAATTAAAACACTGAACAGGCCTGCCCTGGCGTGAGTTTGCTACTGTTGCACAAACCCTGGGAGTCAAACAGGGCCAGCTGTTTGGCTTAAAACTCCAGTCATCCCTCACTACTGCTTTTGCTACCTGGAGCTGATGGGAGTTGTAGGGCAAAACATCTGGAAGGCTACATGTTGACAGTTCTTGCTGTAAATAGTAGAAAACCCTGTATATGATAAAGCGGCTTTGGTATTGGTACTTGAGCTACCATGTTAGTTTCACTTTTTATATATGCTTACCATCCAGATGTGCATGTTTTTGCTTTTGCGTTAGTGTTCAAAGTACTGTTTTAATATTTTTCCATCTATGAGAAAGTTTATCAAGAAGCTAATTATTGCTGCTACTTTTGCTCATCTTGCACTATATGGCAAAGGCCACATGTTAATAACAATTAGAAACATAAAGCTAGTTTAAAAAGTCTGCAGTTTGCCAACTGATGTAATTTCTGTCCTTGACTGATGGGCAATCATTGCACAAACCTCATCCAATTAATTAAAATGGGACATTCTTATGAACATGTTGAGGTTACAGCCCTTAATAGAAGTTAAATATAGTCCAAAGATCAGGACACAAATCTAATTAATTCTTTTCTTGTTTTGAGTTGCATAGGTATAGATTATGACCTTTTGACAATAATAGCACTGCACTGGTCTTTAAAACAAGAACTAGAGAAATAAATAAGCATGCCTTATAAAAGAACTATAAAAAGTTATCAAAGTACATTAATCAGAAGCGAAGTATCAAAAGAGCTGGCATATTTGCTGGACTGTTTTGTGAATTAGAGCAAGAAAAAAATCAAGTTTTTGTTCTGTATTTTGTGTGTGCAGGCAAATATTGCCAACACCACTAGATGTCTTAAAGGCATTGTTGCATGGACTTTTGTTGGTGCATGAAGTGTAGAAGATGAGATATTCAGAAATCCTCTTCTGTTTGCTTTTTTCTCTTTTATGAATACTGTGCCTGATTGACTTTGTGAGAGTAATAATAATTCATTTGATTTGTGCTCTCCCTTTTCTTCAAAGACATCACTCAGGGCAGCTAATGATCTTTAATAAAACAGTAAAAGCAACAGGCAATAAAGGAGTAAAGGCAAGGAATAGCAGCATAAAAACAGACACTGAAAGTTTGAGCAAATAGAAAGGCCTTATGCTTCCACCTGAAATTCATCAACCCAGATGCTTAATGTTACTGTTCTTTGTATTATTTATGATGTTTGCACAAAGGAAAGGAATAATATTGTTCAGAGGCATCAATTGGTTCATAAAGAACAAAGTTGTGCTGAGTGTGACCAGGTGTCATGACTATGTGGCAAGAATTTTAGATAGATCCAGTCTCAAAATGGAAATTTGCACTTCGAATGGATTAGTCAGTGGTCCATACTCTTCACCTTCAAATATATCTTTCCCCTTTGACAATGCTGTATACAAAAAGCATCCCTGAAATTGACCTGTTTGGTCTTCTCTTTCAATATGGCTCCCACAAATTCCCAAGGCCTTCCTTACCAATACATTTGTTTAGTTAAAGGATGAGGTAGACATGGCATTAACTATGTGGATGCAGTTAACATGCACATTTTTAAAACATGTAAATTGGTCTTCACCAACCTGATTTTCTCCAAATGTGTGAGATTGCATCTGTCATGAGAATTGCAGGCCAACAGATCTGAAGGGGACCAGGATAGGAAAGCCTTGCATAAATAGGTACAGTCACTCCATTCACTGAACAAGCAAAGTTTAGAAGGAGAAGTCAACCCTTTGTCACTGTGCACCCAATAAAAATTACCTTCCTGAAGCAAATATTCATATTGAATGGCAAGTCTCCATTGGAGCATATATTTGGCCCTGAAACTCTGCTGTCATATTTCAGGACAAATATATAGGGCCTGTTGTTGTTACTTATCTGGTTGTGCCTCCCTGGTGTGTACAACCATACTTCACTGCAGAGCTTCATGGTGCAAGCTGCTTGTGACTTTCTGAAGTATACTCTGTGATACAGTCTGCTAATTATTTTTAGGCAGAAAGAAAAACCTGGTGTTCGTGTCAAAAGATGGAAAATAACGTAACAACAATTTCTCGTGAGGAACTGGAAGAACTAAAAGAAGCATTCAGTAAAATAGGTATGTTCACTAAATTCTTGCAGTCCCTGTTTCACCTTCTTTTCTTCATAAGTCAACATCAAATATGGCTTTGTTTGAAATAACCGTAAGTTTAAAATGTTCCAGTATTTGAAATTGGATTGAAAACTATTTCTAATTGTGATTTCAATCGATTTATCTAAGGTTCTCCCACAGACATAAGTCTTCATTTGCACTTTGAAGAAACTGAACTTTGTGATACTGATTGACAGTGAGAGAATACTGTTAATATATAACTCCATTCAGTGTGTTCTGTTCAATAGGAACTGCCCAGTTAAGGTTATAAAGACCATATCACTTGAAAACTAGGGAAATCAGTGCTTTCTTTAATTGAAGCTGTAATAAGTTAGTACTTTCCCCCTTTGTACGTGTTAAAGCTCGATTTTCTGACAAAAGTTTACCTTCTGACTTCTTTATGTTCCTTGCAGTATTTACCCACAAGTCATTGACTGGCATATTGACAAGGATTCCAGACAGCAATTACACTCTATTTTGTTTCTATTGCCTCTGAAAACTTAGACATCAATGAAAGCTGAGCTCTAAGCATTGGGTTAAAGCAACAGTAAGGCTATTGCTTTACAAAAACTCCCAAATGTCCTTTATTAACACAAAAGGCTAACTTAACTCCAGACAGTACTAGGCAATCTTTAGACAGGTTCAAGGGTAATTAAAAGGCAAATTTGCTATGAATTGATTAGAAGAAAAAATATTTTTTTCATACCAGTAATCACAAACTCAGGTGTCAGAGTGTCTTTCATTCTGGAAGTAAAATGAGGGCACAAAAGTAATAAAGAGATATAAAATATAACAGCAGATCTTAGAACAATTACTGGGAGAACTGGTGTGGAGGTTAGAATGTTAGACTGGAGACCAGGGAGAGCTGGATTCTAGTTCTCACATAGCCATGAAGTTCATTGAGTGGTTTTGGGTAAGTTATGGACTTTCAGCCTAACCCAACTCATAGAGTTGTTGCTGTGAGTATAAAAATGGAAAGGAAGAGAACTATGTAAGCCACTTAGGATACTTTGCGAGAGTGAAAAAGCAGGATATAAATGCAGTAATCATATTACTATAATACATTTGACCTTATACATTAGCAAAATCTGTTCTAATTTGTAATGCTGAATATGACTCTAAAGTTCATAAGATTTTTACAAGAATAAGAGGTAATACTAATGAAAAGAAAAATTCCAGAGACAAGAACCAGACAGAAATTTTAATATAGGTGGATTTTAAAAATAATTTTCCCTTTGAACACCATACACTCTTGTATCTGATCACAAACAGTTTTTCAGGCTTCTTTAATTTCAAAAGAGTCTTGCCATTTGGTAAAAGGGATTGCAGTCCAAGAAACCAAGTGCAAAGTTCCCTGAGCCCAAGGAAATATGAGTCACAGGTAGGGCTTACAGAAAAAGGTTTGCAATGTGGAGTGCTGCTGTTCAGGATTCTAGCCAATTCATTGTATTCCTCTCAGTTTTCCATTCTGCCAGCTGTCAACATTTTGTAGTGATTGTGTTGAGTTGTCTGGGGTTTACTGCCTGGCTTAGGACTTTTTGCAAAAGATGCTTTGTACTTTTGTAAACCTTGTGGTTCCCTGAGCCTATTAGCACCAGCCTTTTGTGAGTGTGTGGTGCTGTTTGGATATATCTGTGGAAAAACCTTAAATGAATTGATTAAAAACACAATTTAATATAGTTTCTGATCAAATTACACATATTGTGACATATTAAACTTAGGGTTATTTTAAACAAAGCAATATTTGATTGGCACAAATAGTACGAACATTGGAAGAAGAATTGCACTGCAGTGGCTTCTGATAATCATGGAATGGGCCAGAGGGTCATTGGGTCCAACCCCCTGCTCAGTGCAGTACTCCAAGTTAAACCATCCCTCTCAGATGGCTGTCCAGTTACATTTTGAATGTCTCTAGTGTGGGAGAGTCCACAACCTCCCTAGATAATTGGTTCCGCTGTCATACTGCTCTTTACAGTCAGGAAGTTCTTAACAGTCAGCAAGTTGGAGCCTGCCTTCCTGTAATTTGAACCTGTTATTCTGTGTCCTGCACTCTGGGATGATTGAGAAGAGGATCCTGCCATTTCTCTTTGTGACAACTTTTCAAGTACTTGAAGAATGCTATCATATCTTCCCTCATGCTCCTTTTCTCCAGGCTTTTTCTTTCCCAGTTCTTTCAATCTCTCACAGAACTTTGTTTCCAATCCCTTGATCATCCTTGTTGGCCCTCCTCTGAACCCTTTCCAGTTTGTCTGCATCTTGCTTAAGCTCTGGTACCCAGAACTGGACACAGTACCTAATCAGTGCAGAGTAATGGGGAACTAGTATTTCATGAGATTTGGAAATGATACTTCTATTAATGCAACCTAAAATAGTATCTGCTCTTTTTGCAACCACATCATATTGTTGACTCATATTCGGCTTGTGATCTATAACAATTCCAAGATCCTTCTCACTTGCAGTATTGTTTAGCCAAGTATTTCCCATCTTTTTCCTAAGTGCACAACTTGGCACCTAATTGATTTCAGTTGGCATTTGGTAAATAGAAGTTACCATTGATGAGCATTCTTTGAGTCTGATTCTGTAGCCAACTGTGGATTCACCTGGTTGTTGCTCCATCTAGCCCACTATTGCTAATCAGGATATCATGGGACACTTTGTCAAAAGCTTTTGACAGAAGTCAAGATACACTACATCCACAGCACTCCCATGGCCCATCAGCGAGGTTACCCAATAAAAATAATTAAATCATAGCACTCTGACAGGATTTGTTCTAGAGGAATCCATGTTGCCTTCTAATCATTACTACATTGTTTTCAAGGTGTTTGTAGACTGACTGCATTATAATGTGCTCCAGAATTTTCTTAAGGAATGATGTAAGACTGACGAGTCTGTAGTTCCCAGGATCTTTTTTTCCTTTCTTGAAGATAGGGACATCATTTGCCTTTCTCCAGTCATCTGACACTTCCCCTGTCCTCCATAATTTCTCCAAGACAATAGACAGTAGTTTGGAGAGTTCTTTTGCCAGCTTCTTTATAACTTTAGGATGGAGTTCATGAAGCCCTAGAGATTTGAACTCCTTTGCCTATCAATTTTGAACTTCCATCTTGTTCATTCATCTTGTACTTCCCATTCCTCAGGAAGGTCATAACTCTTATTTTGGGAGAAGATGGAGCCAAAGTGGGAATTGAGCACTGCCTTTTCTTTGTTATCTGTTAGTATTTTGCCATCCACATTGAGTAGTTGAAACCCCATTTATTTCCTCAGTCTTTTACCTTGATCATATCTGATGAAAGCTTTTTTTTTTGCCTTTGGCATCCCTCGCTAGCCTAATATGGAATGAAAGTGTTCTGTTCTATTTTGCAAGAGTAATCATAACTACATTTGCACTAGAAGAGGTTCTTCTAGATGTGACTTTTATTATTGTAGCAATAATTGCGTTTATCATCTTAGAGAACATTCCTATGGCCCCATGTGAGCCATAGGATAGTATGGATTCCCAGATCCAAGGCTGGTGGCAAAAATCTGACCTCAGAGCTCTGGAGCTATGTTCCATTCCTCCTATGCTGCCTCACAGCCTGTGCAGTAAAAACCAAACCAAGAACAGGAGAGGGAATAAAGGGGTATCCTGACAGTGCTCTAGCCTTCTCAGCTAGATGGCTGAAACGACTCTTCTAGTTGAAAACCAGAGTACAATGTAGAGGTGATCAAAGATCACCTCTGTTGGTTCCCTTGCTCTGGTTTGGAGGCTCACAAGTGTCTTATTTCAGGGCATAAATGATAGGACTGCACCTTCAGTAGCTTTGTTTCTTTTGTTAATTGCCTTGGCTTTTTTATTACATCCTTTGACAAATGACAACTGTATCAAAGCAGATTATATTTCACTTTTACAGATGCTGACAACAGTGGATATGTCAGTGATTATGAACTTCAAGATCTTTTTAAAGAAGCAAGCCTTCCCCTACCCGGTTATAAAGTCAGAGAAATTGTAGAAAAAATTATAGCAGTGACAGATAACAATAAGGATGGCAGAATCAACTTTGAAGAATTTGTGTCAGTAAGTATGCTCATCTCTCAGTCTATGTGCCTGGTATAGCCATAGTAGGTTACAAATCAAGTATGAAGTACCTGCATGTTTGCAGTACATTGTGTTACAAACTGTAGCTTTGTTTAGCATAACACATCTCTACCTAGTTTGGCTCTAGCATAGACCAGCTTTTCTGCCTGGACTTGGCCAGTGCTTGTCCATTGGGCCCAGCCCTCTGCTAGCAATCCTGGTGTCCAATACTCCTCCTGTTATGGGATTTCTTTCAAATATAGAGTTGCACTTTAAGACTGGAGAGTTATATTCACTTAACTGGGAGTGATCCCTGTTGAACTCAGTGGAACCTTCTGCTCAGTAGACACGGTTAGGAGGTTGCTCTGTCACACTGCTACTCTTTTTTGAATTATTGTACACAAAGCAATTTCCTGATGAATCCTGGGTGGTATTTAAAAATGTGTATTAACATTCTAGCACCAAGAAAACTGCTCGTCATTGTCAAGAAGGAAATAATTGTATTTTAAGCTGTCCAGAGACGTGGAGTAATCAGTAATTGGATGGGTTAGAAATACAACAACAACAACAATAATAATAATTGCTGACATTAGTAAAACCTATCTAAATAATTTTCTGACAGGTGGATTTGTCAGGTGAGGCTTTTACAATTAGTCAGTTTCATTTAATGTGGGGTCCAGATGTTGGGCCTGTTTGCATTATCAAACAACTTACTGTGGCTTATTTAAGACATGGTGTGTTGCAGTGTGCACTGGCACATCTTGAACACACAAACTGCAACTTGTTATGTTGTTTGAACTAAACAGGAATGGGTTACGCAAAGGTTAAACAATGCTTGCAGAACCCATGGCCTGTTTTAGGTCTCTGTGTTGTTTAACTTTTGCACAGCCTTCTCCTGCTGAGTTCAGACAGCATGACAAGTCACAACTGTGGTTTGAATTTGATGACTGACTGCAGTCATCACACAAGCCCAGCTCTTGTTAGCTTTTACTTGTAGCCCTCTTGTGTTTTCCTGCTAAAAATGTGTAACCCTTCCATGTTTGTTACCATCCACACTCAGAGAAACAATATTTTAAAATTTGTTAAGGAGGGGAGAAATAGAGGAGCTGCACAATGTCTTTTGATTGGTAATAGTAGCTAGGTTTATTCCATCTTGAAACATTTGAACTGGCGGCTAACTTGAACTTATTTTTAGTATTCAAGAGCTCTTTAGGAGTAGTACATGTCAAAGACTATTATTGGACTAGTGCTATACTCTAGGAAAAGACCCAGCGTTTGAAAATGTCACATCACTTTCAAGATAATAATGCTAAAGATCATTAAATGGGATGATGGGAGGATATACCATGTTGTAGGCTATAATTAGCAATCCAGTAATGTCTGGAATGGAAAAAAGCTTAATGCCTGCATAGCTGATTGGCTATTATGCAGCATCTTGCTATTGATGATGATGATGATGATGTAAAGTTTCTGAACTTATTTGCATCATCTAAAAAAATTTAAGAGATGTTTTTACAAAATATGGAAAGATCATTTTTTAAAAAATGTTTTCTATATTTGTGTGTATCAATATTTTTCTCTTATTTAGAATCCCTGCCCAAAAAAAAGTTAATTTTGTCATTGCTTTCTCTTTCTTCACCCTAAATTCTTCCTCGCTTCCTTTCTTTGATTTTCTTTTCCTGCTTATTTCACAATATAGCTTGAAAGCTTCTAGTGACTGTTGTAATGACTACTTGGGTAGAAAAGTGTGGGCTGCTTTCATAGGACTGCTGTCATGCATAGCATTTTCCAGTGTATGGTCTGATATGTAGAAATATCTCTCTGTTCTGTTCCAGGTTATTCAGGAACTGAAAAGTAAAGATGTAAGCAAATCATTCCGAAAATCCATAAACAAAAAGAAAGGAATTACTGCAATTGGAGGAACATCATCAATTTCCAGTGAGGGGACCCAGCACTCTTATTCAGGTAAATACTCCACCATTTATTTAAATAAAAGTTTCCTATGAAAACTAAAGCTAGTATTTACATTTAATAAAAGAAAATTGCTGTAACTCTGATGTTTAAAAGCTGGTGTGCTGGATTTTGTCAAGAGCTATTACTGCTGTGTTTGGCAAACCTGAAGAAACTGCTAGAACAAACAGTACAGATAAAAAACAGTGATTAAATGCAAAAGTGCCGTTTTCAGGGAAATACTATATTTTATGTCTAATACACATAGAAATGTTCAAACAAATATCCTCTGCTCCAGTATAATTTTAGACAAAGAACTGGGTTCAGCACATAGTGCATGATGGACAGTCTCTTATTATTTAAAAAGGAGTCCATAAAAGGACAACATTAAGGATAGAATAGGCTTCAAACTATATGGGTAGTATTTTCAGTTTACACAATTGGACTGTACAAACATTGTATTGGAGTATTGTCAACACATACACAGTGATGAAAAGGAGTTGTGCGTGTATGTCCTGCTTCCTCTATGCATGTTAAATATAAATGGTAAAAGATCCTATCTCTCAACAAACTCTCTGGTGTATAGGTTCTGTATAAATGATTTGGGATGCATGTTTTTTTGGTCACAATCACAGAGTGATTGTAAATGCAGGCTCTGTCATAGGTTTTGCTGAAGACATACAGTGTGAACAAAGCCCATGAGTACAGTCCCGCTCCTCCTGAACAAATGCCAGTGATGTGACCATGTAACATATGCACAGTCCTATTATCTGCTAAGGAACCCAACACATTTGTTATGTATTATGCCAAGGTCTTGTGAAACACCCCACAAACAGAGGTGTTCCAAAAGGAAGGCAATATCAATTCTTTTATGCAGAATGCAGAATTTTGAGCCCCTGCTATATACAGATGATAGTTGCCTCTTCTGAGTTCCTGTAGAGTAATGACTCTGCAAGTGAATAAAAAATGGAGAAAGAAAAGAAGCTGGAGCAGCTGAAACACTAGGATCCAGTTTCATTATCCACCTAGTAATGATACAAAGGTTCTTGTAGTGGAGGTAAGTTTTATACTTCAGTTCCTTCTGTGGTTGAGCTTAAGAACTGTCTCCATAGTTTCCAGGTAGGCTCCATCAGTGCTTTTTTTGTAAAAAAAAAAAAAAAAGTGCCAGAACTCACGTCTTGGGGTCACACTTTTACACAACAGTCACCGCCGGCAGTAAGCACTCAGCGCGTGACCACACGACCGATCCCAAGCCGAGCAGTGTCCCAAACCGAGCAGCGTCCTCAGAATCAGCGCCGACAAACAAGCAGCCCGCAGGCACTATGTTAATGATTTTTGCCTCTGACCTGCTACGCCCAACAGGGCGATTCACAATCACTTGGAAAAATCTGTCAAAAAAAGGTGCAGGAATGCCGTTCCAGTGCGTTCTATGACAAAAAAAGCCCTGGGCTCCATCATCTCTTACAGCTTGTTCAGAATCTGTCTGCATGCTGTCTTTCTCCATTCTCATGTGGATCCTGCCTACTCACCACCATTGGTTTGCAAAAGGATGCAGCCTTTTATTTCTTGGGCTGAAGACATGCTCCTCCAACTTCAGCTTGCTTGACAGGCCCTCCTTCGAGCAGCCACCAGCTGCTCAGTGTTGTTTTACAGTCACCAACTTCCAACAGCATGGGCAGCGTCAAAACAAGACCTCAGATTGCATTCTTCCTATCAGAACAGGATTAGACCAGGCATGCAAGTAGAGCTGCTACAGGCTGGCTGCACCTTGGAATCTCTGTTCATTGCAGTGGATTCTGTTGTATAACACATACTGAACTGAGCAGGCTTTGCCAAGGTTTGCTTACTGTCTTTATTTTTCCAGAAGAAATGAGTGTGCCCAGTGCTTCTGTGATGCATTTCAGCGCTACATCAATGATGGCACAGAAGCTGTCTTTCAGGGAAACTTGGCACCCTTGTTGATCTTTTCCTTAAGGGGCCCTGCATAAACATCTGTGTAATGTCAGGTTTCTTGGAATCTAGTTTAAAATATCACTGGCTTAGAGCAGTCTGCTTGTCTCTGTTGAGAATTCTGATTTCTCCCTTACTGATTCACATAGAAGGCTTGGCTGGAATGAAGAATCACAGTCACACGTAGAGAGAGGCTGGAATCTTTTCTTTCTCCATTGTTTTACTCTTTTTAGGCACAACAATCTATGTATCCTAAGCATGCTGGCTGGGGAATGCTGGGAGTCATAGGACTTTTTTCTGTCTAAAGATGCATATGATTGCACTCCTAGTATCTCATCTGTGAGTGAAAATTAAGTACCAAGGAGGGGGATAAGCAGAGATAGACAAGGGAGGGTTCTTCTTATGCCACCTAATTCTTTTGAAGAGTTCTGGAGAACTTGAAAGCTTACACTACCTTTAGTGGCATTTTGTTGGTCCTTGGTTGACATTACTCAGTTGTGAATTTTGGGTTATTTTATTCACAGAGCAGCATGGCTATCTTTCAGTGCAAAAAGATTCCCACCAACTTTCTCTGCCTATAGGTGAAACAACCATCAGAATTTTCTGGAGAAAGAGTTGTAATGTTTTAAAACCATCAGGAAGAACTTCCTAGTCTTTAGTTCAGTGATCCATTGAATGCTTTCCTGTTGTATAATTATATTTTGTAATTTATGTCCTGCTTTTGATGTCCTGTTTTTCCTGCATTCTTTTTTTTCCAGAGGAGGAAAAGGTTGCTTTTGTTAACTGGTTAAATAAATCTCTTCAAGATGACCCTGACTGCAAACATCTTCTTCCTATGAATCCATCAGATGACAGTCTTTTCAAGTCACTTGCTGATGGTATCCTGCTCTGGTATGTTTAATGTTAACTTTTAAAAAATAAATTCCTAAAAAAGTAAATTGATATGTTGGAATTTGAAATGCATAGGAAATGAACCAGACCAAGATAGCACTACCTAACAGACAGTTAGCATTCCTTGGCCACTGAGCATGTTGAGTTCCCATTTGGTTCTATTTGGGATTTTCTTTTTCTGGACATTTTTTATACTTCTGCACAAACTTTGAATATGTTGATACCCTTTTCTTAGTGGCCCCACTTTGACTACATAGGTATTGGCACTCACCACCGAAGTTTGTTATTAGAAGGAAAGTATGAAAAGTCCATGTGGTTTGCTAAACCCATATTCACTATGACAGGCCATTCTGGATATTTGCCTTTTCTAGTATCTATCTCTTCTGTATCTCTGTGTGTACTTAGAATGAGAAGGATATTTGCAGGCACAAATGCGTGCCTCATATGTGGAACACACTGACTAGATTACCCCTTGCACACATGGCGACTTGGAAGCTTCACACCAAATTCATGACCATCAAGAAGACTGGGACTAGCACATCTTCAGTTCTTTTTGTAGACTGCTGCCACAGAGCATTTTACTGGCTAATAGCTTAGATTACTAAGGCATTTAAATGCATAAATAGAGAATAGGCCTATCAGTGGCCATATGGAGTTTCCATGTCCAGAATCAGGGTGTCACTAAACAGTAGTTGGTGAAGAGCAAAAGAGAAGATGCCTGGCTTCTAGTTTTCCACAGTGATTTACCAGATGCCACATGGAAATCAGGGCACTGGACTAATTGAAAAAAAAAGGGTTTTTGGACTCCCATGACTGCATATGCATTTAACTATAACATGTAAACTGATAACACATGAATTCAGTTTTCCAAAATAACTTTAATTATTAAATATTTTTTGGATTTGCTAAGTCAGAGATATGTGCAATTTACTTTTGAAGTGCAAATTAATGCATCCCAACTTCTCCTAACTTATAATATACAAACAGTCCATTATGAAGGGTACCTTTTAGTTTTCTGGTCTCAGATTTGCCATGAGTTAAATTGGCATGATCAGATATTTCATCGTATCTGGTATTGGAATTTCTTCAGCAACATGTCCAAATTCCATTATTTCAGTTCAAAGGACACTACCTTTCAATTCAAAGGACAGGATCAGAATATTTTATACTAATTGACTTTTTTTAAGGTGCTAAGTTCATGGTTATAAAATTGTTTGTTATGATTTATTATGGGAAAGCATTCAGATATACATTTCCACAATCTGATTTAAATTGGCAGACTATGAAAAACAGTACCAGATATCATGTCTACAAATTTTAATTGCTTTGAGGTTGTTTCAGGTTTGAAGACTGAACCCCACAGCCTAATATTTATTTTCATCTGTACCTTGTCTTAAGTGCCTGCAGCTATTTCATTTCAGGTTTCAAGGAAGATTTCTAGGTTAAAGTATTCTAGTTATGAGAGTATGTTAAACAAAGGGGTGGCTTGCTCACAGAGGCATGCATATACCTGTGAACATTTAAAATGACTGTCAGCTGAATGTGTAGACTCACTCCACTAAAAGGTATTATATTAGAATTTTGAGTGGAAAATACAGAGGCTCTATCTGTGATGGCTCATTCAAATATTAATTATTTGATGCAACTGTCAATGACTGTTGAGTAAATATATGTGCAATTTATATAATCTGCACTATGGGTATAATTGTACTGATACAATTGAAGTGATACATTATGTGAATTAATTGGTGTTGTTTCCATGATGTTGAGTATGTTTATGTGAGCAAACTGTAAGTGAATAGATTTTAGGTTTTTGTGTGGTGTGAAAGCACTCTGATAATTCTGGTTATACTGTTGGTCACTGAGTATGATCTTAATATTGCAAGTGTCTGAACTCTTCTGGAAACAAAATATCCATTAATTGTTATGCCCCACTGTCTTGTTTTCTTCTATGCTTTCTGCTAGACATTCTGATGTGCTTTATTTTGGTTAATTTGTATGGCAATTTTTATGTATTGTTAGAGGCTAAATTTATTTTTATGTTAAGGTGATCTTCATTTTCAGCTAGATGATTAAATATTGACCTTTACTTCCCCAGCAAAATGATTAACTTATCCCAACCAGATACAATTGATGAAAGAGCTATTAATAAGAAGAAGCTTACCCCATTCACTATTTCTGTAAGTAAAGTATGATCCAAAGCTGAGTATTTAAATCTACTTTAAAGGGTTATTAAGAGGACGCACAGAGCATCTTTAAAGTATTTTGCTAAATGATCAAAGCAATACATTATTCTGAAAATTAAATTCCTAGACTTATTATAAGCACTTCTATAGCACTGTAGCCTCACATACTGAAAATTATAGCAGTGCCTGAAAACTAATATATGAACCTCAAATAATGATAGTTTCCAGGCACCTTTCTGCATATATCTTATTTTCCTTCTGTGAAGTTGTTTAGACAAAGGGCAAGTCCTGCGGGTTTTGCCCTCCATGCTTATAAGCCCCCAAACCTGGAGGCTTATGAGCATCCAGTGAAGAGCAGAAGTGGTGGAGGTGATTTCTGCCTCTCTGCACTTTTTGTTCTACATTTTTGCTAGAAAGCTGTTCTCAGCTGTCTAACTGGGGGGCTTTGGAGGAGAAGGCAAGAAGGCCAAATAGGACACAAAATATGTCTTACACTGGACTCTACCATCTCCTTCCCTCCTGCCCATCAAATTCCCCTTTACTCCCTCTCTGAGGCTGAATTCCTTATCTTGAAGAGGCAGCTGGTGTGATTGTTTCTGTACTGGCTGCAGTTAGTGCAGGGTGACTGGAGCATGGATTACCAGCTTCAGATCTAAAGTATCATCTGCGCACACACACCCTCAGGCAAGGTCTAGGAGCCATAGGATTTCTCTATCCCCATTTCTAGCACATTATGGAGCAAAACCTTTCTAATCTGTACCTGGAAAGAATTAATTATACATCGCTGATATAAGGTGTTCTTAGGGCAGTATCAAATTGGATTATATCACAAATGCAATCCAGTGCTAGCCAAATATCATTAGTACATGCTAGGCAAAGGGAAAAAGTGGTGATTTTGTTCTATAATGTGGAGTTGACACAGCTGAAATTGATTGACAAATTACTGCTTGTTTCCTTTGTCTAGCAAGTGTTAATGCTGTTGCAGTAACACTGGCTTATGCAAGTGCAACATCATTAATGTTAGCATTTGTCACTAGCAAGCTTACTCCCCGTTTTAGCAAGCTTACTCCCCCTTTTAGCAAGCTATCAGGGCAAAGGCTTTCTGATTAAAGTATTTATTATATTAAAACTGGCCAGCAAGGCTGGCTTTGTGACACAAAATAAGAGTATTGAAGAAGTCAATAACAAAAGAAACAACCAAAGTTAGAATACTGGCCATTTACAAAATGGGGCTTAATGATATGAAGTTGATTCCAAACTGAATATCTGTCTTCCATTCCAAACCAAAAAGAGTTGATTCCATCTTCAAGATGGAGCATGGCTGCATACAGGCCAGTTGCTGGGAATGCCTGACATGTGTCAGGTGATCCATCCTTATTACCTGACACCATATAATTGGATTAGGATGTTAGTCTGCACCCATACATCTCAGTTTGCTCCCTAAAATTCCTGACTGAACTTGTAACTGTCTGGTTTTCAGTGAGTGGGTGACATTTCTCTGCTTCTACTGGCCTTAGCATTTCAGCTGTGAATTCCAACCCTTCTGAATTAGAATCTGAATCAACAACCTTTGAAAGCTGTTTTAGGGGAGGAATGGGCCTAATGCCACTTTTAGGGTATATTTTGTGACAGAAGGAAGCATTCTGCATTTGACCACATTCAATACTTCCTCAAATACTTGTTGCATCACCTTTGGCATTTTCCCATTTTTTAAAAAATTCTGGCAAGGATTATGCATGTTTGGGTACTTTGAGCATCAGTGGAGCAATTGATAGGGCTGTGTGCTAAGAAATCAAACATGGCCAGGATAAGAATAGCAGATGGCACCTTTTGGATCCATGAACTGGATAAGCATTTCAGAGGTGGCTTGTGACTCTGGGGTTCCTCATCCACTGCAGCTTTTCTTTTCAGCTTTATAGGAGATAACCGTGGTATTCCATGGTAGTGAAGCTATTTGGGAATAGAATTCAGCATGTGGATAGCTGCTACAAATCTCCTGTAAAACTGAAAAGAAAAGCTCAATAGATGACATAGGAGCTATCCATTTCCCCTGTATATACTGAATGTTACAGAATAAGTCACAAATTGTTCGTGTCTCATCTGTCATTGTGTGTTTAAAAACACCTTAAAAATGGCATCTAATACACAGCTTTGTTGGTATATCCTTTGTTATTTTGTCTTGCTTTCCTTTTATGCATAGATGGATATTTTTGAATTGTAGTTGCTGTTTGAATTTAGTTTTCCCAATGTCCAAGAAGCATTCTTTTAATTTTCTTTTTAGGAAAACCTTGATCTTGCATTGAATTCTGCATCAGCTATTGGCTGCACAGTAGTCAATATTGGCTCACAAGATCTAAAAGATGGGAAACCACATCTGGTGTTAGGACTGTTGTGGCAAATAATTAAAGTTGGGCTTTTTGCTGATATAGAAATCTCTAGAAATGAAGGTAAGAAATTAAGGACTATCAGAAGTGTTCGGTTTGAAGTCAGTAGTAAAGCACATCTTGTTTGCTTTCTTTTTTAAAGTCTAGAAACCAACAATAAAACCTTAAATAATAAAAAATTAATTAGTTTTTCTGAAAACTGTTTCACAGCTCTGATTTGTTTGCTACGTGATGGAGAAGAATTAGAGCAATTGATGAAACTGTCTCCAGAAGAACTCCTGTTACGCTGGGTTAACTACCATCTAGATAATGCTGGATGGAAGAAAATAAACAACTTTAGTCAAGACATTAAGGTATATCTTAGTTTATCATTCTAATAAACAAAAGCAAAACCATAACTTTGAAGCAGATTCTTTTAACTGGAGCCAAGCAAGACCATCTTATTATAACTATATAATGCAATCTGATTATAACTGAATTCTAATCAAACATCTCATTGTTGTCCAGTGCCAAAATATAAAAGACCAACCCTTTCATAGTTAAGCAAACAAACTGTGGCTAAGGAAGCGAAACTTAATCGCCATGAGATCAGCTGACAGTCATGGCTTGCCTTCTTCCACTGCCTGAGAGTGAGATCCACTATCTAGATGAAACATTCACTTCTGGAAACCATACCCCCACAGTGAATCCACCAAAATCTCCACCAGCATAGACGTCTTGCCTGTAGTGGGTAAACAAAATGGTAACAGAGGAGCTTCAGACATATTGGCTTTCTAACACATGTACTGTGTGGAAAGGTGGTACTATACTTCAGTAGACATCCTGCATAATGCTGCCAATGGGCGACTTCTGTTGAAGCCTCCTATCTGGCGACCTGTCACCATAGTCCACCTCCATGGCGTCTCCGTGCCCACCCATCACTACCATTGCAAGTCTTTTCCTGCTTTCCACAGCTCTTGAACAACTTCAGAGGAGTGCATTTAAGTTATTGGGTAGAAGTTCTCCCATCAGCACCCTCCACCCTTGTTGCAGCAAACTGACAGGGCTGTGCATGCAATAGTTGATCTGTCACAGAATCTCTACTTTCCAAGGTCATTATTGCTGTGTAAGTAAACACATAACAAATATTAAGTGATATCTGACAGTATAATATATGGATGGTGCTTTTGCTGTCTGCAATCAGCAGAATTCAAATAGCTTTCTTTGACTACTATTCTTTTGCCTCTCCCATTCCCTACTATTGCAATGATGATGATGAAGACCTTGGAATGTTGTACTATTGTACCTGGCAACAGCAAGATTCCCTAATTTTTTCATTATCTCAAAGATAATATTTATATTTTGTATTGTTTACTTCAGGATTCAAAAGCCTACTTTCATCTCCTAAATCAAATAGCACCCAGAGGAGGCAATGGTGGAGAACCTGCTATTAACATTGATCTTTCACGCCTTAATGTAAGTGTGTGTGTGTGTGTGTGTGTGTGTGTGTGTCTAAAATGCACCTGGAAGGGAAGCAATGAAGGAACTAGAAACAATCACCAAGTGTAAGGAGGTTTCACTGGAAACTAAGGCTAAGATCATCCATACTATTGTATTCCCGATCATGGGTGTCAAGGCTAGACAGTAAAGAAAGTTAATATGCAGAAAATTGATGCATTCAAAATATGGCATTGGAGGAGAGCTTTGTAAATACCATGGACCAACAGAAAGATGGGCAAGTGGGTCATAGGTCAAATCTAGCTAGAGCTTCCCTTGGGAGCAAAAATTACAACATTTAAGCTGTCATACTTTGGGGACTTCATGAGAAGGCAAGACTCACTGGAGAAGACAATCATGACAAGAAGGAAAGGAAGGTTACACATAAGATAAGGAAAAACCTATATATGTATATGTTGTGTGTAATGCCCATTTCTCTATGTCACAACCACAGTATTCAAAATGTTAAAATATGCATTCTTCAGAAAAAATACACAGTTTTAGACTTCAGGCAAGGAATTAGACCAGGCAAGAAAAACTGCAGTTTGGAGAATCTTGGACTTTGGACAAACTCAAGTATCCCTGGTTCTCCCACTTCTGGTAATAACCTTGTGGAGGGTTTTGCATACAAATATATGTCTAGTTTGGACAACTACAGTCTCTTTCTGGATCTTGTTTGCATTTCCTTTTGGGTAGCATTTGAATAAATTCAGTCGTTTATAATTTGCAACCTACCTGGAAGAATGCAATGTACCAGCCATGTGCAGTGAACTGTCAGAGTCTTGAAATGTGTTCTATTTCTGCAGCCTGCCTGGAACTTTAAAATTAGGACGCTCTTAAGCATCTGCCAGGCCACAATAGATGTTTTGTGAACTACATTAAGCTTGGTGGTACAGGTGACCAGGCCTGATTTAAATCCTGCTCTTCCATTGTTTTATGCAATTACTTGTAGAATAGATGATTGGTTGACTACAGAAAAGTTCCGCCCTCTTAATGGTTTATATATTTCATTTGCAGTTTCGTGATATTCTTGGGTTAGAGGTGAATTTCTACACATATTCTATTCTGTGTAGATTATTCAGAAAATTAGTCTTTTTATCTTCTCCAAGTAAAATGCATATACACACCTCAAACAGATATGTACACACTCTTATACAAGCCATACATGCGTGCATGCACGCATACACATGCAAACACTCTTCCTCACATATACATGCTTTTTGTGATTTAGAGTCTCAGATTTCATGTGGGACTTAATGGGCATGGTGGGAGACTGTGCTTGCCAGCAGGCACACCCATATCATAGATGCATTCACTAGGTGGTCAGCACACGACAAGCCATGGACTTTGAGCGTGCTTTGTTCATTGTTAGCAACCAATGCTTAAGCCATTGTGCTAGGTTTGGATGACGATACTACCCACAGTGAAACAAACAAAATTGGGTTGTTGTGTCATGCAATTCTGGTCATTTTGTGCATGCATTTGGGAGCCCTGACAAAAATAAAAATAAAGTTCTCAAATAAAAGTTTATTTCTAAATAATCTTTGGCTTGCATCTAGAAGTGGAATTGTATTTTCATATCTAATACAAGGTTATATAAAGACATACTTTTAGAAATATCAACATTATTTTTTTTCAACTGTGTGATTTATTTTTATTTGGTTTTCTCTAGGAACAAAATGACCTGAAGAGGGCTGACTATATGCTTCGAGAAGCAGAAAAACTGGGCTGCAAACAGTTTGTGACTCCAGCGGATGTGGTTGCGGGCAACCCTAAACTTAACATGGCCTTTGTAGCAAACCTCTTCAACACATACCCTGCCCTGCAAAAACCTGAAGGGTCTTCTTATGACATCAATATGCTAGAAGGTCAGCTCCTTCAACATACTGTGGTTGTAACATAGAGAAATGGGCATTACACACAACATATACATACAGTATATAGGCTTTTCCTACTGGATTTATGATACATAATTGATCTAAATACATCAGAGTATCATATCAAGCAACTTGTTTTTCTGATGTATTGATTCACCAAACAGGAGTCTTGTTTGAGTTTGAAATAATGTTCCTCCAATCCATACTGACCTATTCCAAATTTCCTTTGCTTTTTCTTTCAGAATATTTTCATAGTGAATTGAATACACTTGTTCAGAGCTATTGCATGACATTAAAAAGGCATAAACTATGTTAGAAGATCACAGAATCCACAGAGTTCAGCACTGTATTTCCAACAGCAGCCAGTTGGATGCCACTAGTACTTTGCAAGCAGACCCTCAAGGCCTTCTGGCAGTTCATATTCAGAAGCACACTCTCTGAACCCTAAAGGCCCATTTAGCTAGTATGTTCTCTCTAAAATTTGTTGAATCCCATTTTAAAGACCTCTAAATCAGGGGCCATCCCCACATCTTATGGCAGCAAATTCCTTGTGGATGCAATACTATGCATATTTAGACAGAAAAAAATGCCCCACAGCATCCAGTGATTCACAACCAGCACAGAATTTCCCAATCCTCTGCATGGCTGATTGGGAATCCTGAGAGTTGTAGGAATTTTGTCTAAACATGCACAAAAGTACTTTTGCCTCTTCTAAATCAGGTGCCAGTCTCTTGAAAAAACTTGTCTGTGAATAAGCATGCAGTGGCTTATTCACAGAGAAAAAAGCAAAACACCTAAGCACTTGCCCAGTGCTAAGGGAAGAGATGATGTGATCTTTCCTTCTTTCTCTGTATGCCTGGCAAGGATACAGAGCCCAAATAAGTAGGTGCAACATTAAAATTGTCTTTGCATTTAACGTGACATGTTTGTTGATCTTTAGTGCCAAATTAGACAATACTGGGGGACCCGTTGGTTCTTTTTAACATTTAGAACAGCTGTGGGGTGGAATTGCTTCAGGAGAGCAGCACATCTCTGCAACATTTTTCTGATATAAATATTACTCTGCCATTGCTGTTTGTTCCATAGGAGAAAGCCTATGGGTTTGTCTGTATGTTTCCCTGTAGAAGGCAAATAGTGGGGGCAATTTAGATAAGAAAATTGGTATGGAAGGGCTCCTCTCCCAGAATGGTTCAAGACCATCTTGCTATTTTGAACTAAAACAGGGGTATCTTTCAGCATCAAACCTAACTGGACTGCAAAATGTCATTGCTGCTCTTTCAAATATTATTATATAACTAGTGAACATGTTCATGCTTTGGTAATTGCCTCTCGGGTAAGCTGTCATTTTCTGAAAATATATAATTTTCCATTTTTCTTCATGAAACACAGATTTGACCCCCGCTAATGTAGGTACTGTATTTAGTATTTTTCTTTGGCCTGTAACTGTGTTTATCTTGAGACTTCTGATTTCACCTCCCTTTCCTATTACTATTATGACCACTTTCCTTCTAATTATCCTCCTGTAGTGGTATTGCTATCTTTCTTATGCCATCTTAATATGCCATCAATAGAAGAAAAATGTTAGTAAGTCCAATCAAAGACCCCATATAAATGCCAGCTGGACTTCTTCTTGCATTTAGGAGCCATGAATCGGTATCTCGCAAGACTTTGGACATACAAGTGTGTCAACAGTGAGCATTTACTGGTGTCAGCTGCAATAGCAGCAACAGTTTTCATCTGCAGCTGTGGTGTCTCTTTCCCTCTCTCAAATGACTTAAGCTCTAATATACTGTAGCTTCTGGTGGCATCCAGATATGTACTTTCACAAATGGAAAATTATTTTTGCCAATACCTCGTCCCCCTGCATTTCCTATGCTGTTTGGGGGACCCCCTCCCCCACTTTGGAGCAGCTATTCAGGGGGCTCAGAGAGTGACAGTGAAATGGAGAAATCTGCAAAAATTGCTACTCCCTTTATCCAGTGCTAGCAAGTATCAATCTGAGCCAGTAAAATAACATATTTATTAAATTATTTATAGAAGCATTTATCATTTCCCTTTCAGCCTGCTTAAGTGTCCTCAAGGCAGTTCACAAAAATCAAATGCAGTCTTCATATGTAAAAATGGGAACCATAAAACCACTTTAAAAATTAAAGTAAGAAAACAGTAGCCCACAAAGATAAACCCATTGAAAAGCTGATGAAATAAAAATGTTTTGATGGTCTGCCAGTAATCAAGGGGTCTGGTAAACTTCATTCAGGAAAGAATCACACAAACAGGTTTTTGCCACAGGAGAACACAGAACAGAGCCTCAATTGATGACTGTAACTAGTGGGCAGGTTCCTGCAGGAGGAAGCAATATATGGGGATTGGGCCTGCTTCTCCCAAAATAGCACTTCAAGCTATTGATTGCTGACTCTAAATGTGAGCTAGAGGAAGAGGAGGAGAGGTTGGAAAGTGTTACTGAAATGTCAAAGTTAAGAAGTTGCAAGATTTGCCAAGCAGCTGGTAAGAACTAGACCACCTCTTGTTTGTGAGGAGAAACTGTCAACCACAGAGAGTCATAGGAGGTGTGAGATCATCAGCCCAGTGGTTTTTTTAAACAAATCAAATGAAAGGGCCAATTAAATAATGTCCAGTGTGTTCCTACTGTCTAGCCTGCAAGTAGCACAAACCTCCCTGAAGGAGGAGCCATCCCTTTTGGAGGGAAAGAAAGGAGGGGTTTTTTTTTGCTTGGGATCATATTCTGATATGGGCAAGAGCTAACTCCACAAATTAGAGGGATTACCTTGATAGATGCTAGTTGTTAACAACATTTATATTGCTCACTTTGTATTGTGAAACAAGCCTAGCTCAGTAGAAAACTGCATTTAGAAGTCTTTTACCTTGATCTGCTGGAAAGGGAAAAGGGGAAAGATGTATTTATGATGGTTCCCTTCAGTTAGTCTGGTGTCAAACTATTTAAGATTTTATAGATAATATCCAGCATCTTGATTTTATTTATACTTTTATTATATTTATTTCCTATATTTTACCTGCAAGGGACCTGCAAAGAACCTAAGATTGTTTACATAATCCTCCCATTCTCTCCAGTTTATCTTCACAACAACCCTGTAGGCTAGGTTGAAAGTCAGTGACTGGCCCAAAGTCACGCAGTGAGCTTCATGGCTGACTGGGAACTAGAACCTGGATATCCTAAGCCCCAGTCCAAGCAGTAAAACACATTGGCTCTCAAAACTGGGCTTACAGACTAACAGAAAGCCAATGCAGATAACATAAAGTTTTGGATAATATATGCTGAAAAGGAGATTCAACAGCATTCTGGCTGCTGCATTTTTTACCAGTTGAGATCTCCAAATACTTTCCAAGAACAGCGCGACATAGAATGTTTTGCAGTTATCTAATCTGGAGAGGACTGTGAACATATGTAACTGTTCCCGTTCTGCATTCTCCAAGATTTGAATTCCTCTGGTCTAGATTGTTACTTTGGGTATGTCTTATGTAATAGTACAAAAGTTGTTATTTTCCAAGACATGGAGGATTCTACTGTAAGCTCTTTTTCTTTTGTAAATTTGAATAAGAAATGATCACATAGATGATGAACATAGTCCTCATGGCTGTATAGAATATGAGCAGCCACAGGGAGAGAATAGTCCATGTTCTATTGGTCATGTGACTATTTAGCATCAACTTGTGATTTCCCCATCTAACTACATAGAAATTGATTGGAAGCTATTACTGATCATGGTATTTATTGTTCTAGTGTGTTTTACTATTGAAGAGCGAAGATTTGTTTCTTCACAAAGAAAAAAAAATGTTCTCGGGCCTTTTTCCCCTATAGAATGATTGTAGAATATGTTAAGGACAAGCATTTTCTTTATTGAAATTAAATTGTACCCAGCATTTTGCTGTCTTGAGAAAGGGAGGCAGAGATATCTTCTTGATTAGTTGCTTATGATGTCTCTTCCATATTCTCTCCACGTGACACATTGCTGCATAACATTGTGGTCATAGAAGAGACATGCCAGAGGGCAAGTTGTTATATATATATATATATATATATATATATATATATATATATATATATGGCCCAATTTCTGTGTATTTTCCATTATGTATTTATGCTGCCACATAAAATATAGTGCATGTTTCCAGAAGGTAAATTTTGAACAATGGACAAGAATATGCATGTGTATTGGGGGAGGGGGTAGTAATGAAAAGATGGCTGGTTTTCAGCCATCCGAAAAGCTTTACAATTCTAATGTGCTTTTATAACAAAGAATCTTGTTTAGAGTGGCATATTAAATACAGTGTGTTATTTTTAGTTACACAGTTTCTTTTACTCAGAATTGCATTCTTTCAACTTGCATGCTATTCTTCTCATACGCTTAGAGTGGATTTTTCTGGTCTTTATTCAGCATGCAGTTTTAATTCTTTGTGTGAGTTGCTGAATATTTCCTTTAACTTCTGACAGTCTTTTTGTAATAAGCTTTCCTGGAACCGTTTGCTAGTTGTCTTTGAAATGTTCAAAATATATTTTGGTTAGAGATTGTTTCAGATAACAAACATAAATAGTCTTAGTCACTGACTCCAAGAACATTTATGGTCCAAATTTAAGTAACGTTTTTCTCAGTGAAGGAAATTTCTGAATGAATTACTTTGCTTGAACAGAACAAACCAACCATGACAAAATAATTTTATACATATCTTCTTAAATCAAATGCATATGCCTTTACATTAAAAATTCCCTTCTTTGGTTTATTGGTCACAATGTCAAACTGTAAATATGCTGAAAACTATAACAAAAGTATAACTCCAAGGTGAATTATTTAAACATTAAATTTCCACACATTCATATGTCATTAATATAGGCTACAATCCTATACCCTTTTACTTGGCAGTAAGCACCATTGAACTCAGTGAGCTTTACTTTAGTAGACACATATACTAACAAGCATGGATAAGAGAAAAGATAAAGAGAAAATAGCTGCAGTTTAGTGGGTGAGTGCAAGATAGTAGGTGAGTGATTTTGTTTGGGTTTACGTGCGGGCTGAACAATCATGGTGGAGCCACATGCCAGCAGCAGGAGAGTCCTGCCCACTTTTGGTATGGTCTTGCCCATTGCTGGCATAGAACCCCTGACATGGTTGCTCAGAATCAAGTTGACCAAGAAAAGTTTCTCCATTCCTGTCCAGGGAAAGCCATACTCCCCTTCCCAGTAAAGCCATATTCCTCTTCCTACTCATATTGCAAAATCAGGTGGTAAGAATCTTGAGCTGATAGCATGAGCTGAAACAGTTCAGAAAGAGGGAGGAGCATTGCTTATTAATACTTTCCCAGGGCTGGTCTTCGCATGATGCTGGGTGAAGTTCCTTCATCAAGTAGCAAGCTGGGTGGAACACTGTACTGCACTGCCTTCCCCACCAGAAGGGCTCGCCCACAATGCTCGACGCTTGCAGCAGATGATCTGGAAAGCTTCTCCAGTTGCTCTCCTGCCATGGCATTTGATCTGTGAGAGTACTCAGTGCAGTTCTCCCATCCATTCTCTGTCTCCCTTATTAGGCACGCTGTCTATTTTTGCCACTGTTGTGTTGGCTTTATGGAGGGCCAGGCATCTGGAAGAAGTTTCTGTGGGGCTCTCACAAGACCTAGGTGAGGTCTCGCAAGAGCACCAGAGCACCTTTTTCCAGGTGTGTGGCTTTTCACAGAGCTGATGCAGTGATGGAAAGAGGAAGAGGAGTGCATGACAGGGAAGAGGGAAATGTTTTTGCAGTGGCAGCAGCAGGAAGGGGTGCAGTATAGTGGTGGGAATATAAGGTTGAGGTGACATGTATTTTCTCCTACTTCTGGCCATAAGAGAGCTTGCACTGGGATGCTGTTCACCCTTGTGATAATATTATTGTTCTAGAAATTGCATGTTAGTGAGAGGGTTGCTAGTTCAGTTGTGCTCATTTTCTATCCATGGGAAGATATGTTTGTATTTCACTTAGAGGAGCCTTAAAATTGCAATTCCTTACCTGCTGTCTGAAATAGTAACATCCATTCTTTCACTTCTCAAGACAACTGTGTCATCCCAACCTCACCATGTTGCATGTGTTGACCCAGGCATAGATATTCTCACCAGGAAGTCTTTTAATCAGTTACTGCTGGATAAAATAATAAGGACAGTTACGTTTTGTGGAAACCAAAAATTACATGATTTCATCCATAGCAGAATTTCCCTGGATTATGGCCAGGTCACAGTAAGTCTAGAGTCTCCATCATGGTACCTGCTAGACACCTTGTCCCTCCTTATTTTTATTTTGTTTCTTAAGATTTTTTTCCAGCTGGTTGCCTGGTGTGCTGTAAGCTTTGTCCTCCAGCATTATGTTTGTTTGGGTTTCAAGGAGCAGTTTTATGTTTTGGAGCTCTTCCTCCTCATCCTTGTACTTAGGTTCTTCAGCAAGTCATTTTTCTTTTATTCTTACCAGTTTGCTTCTGAAAAAAGAGTGTTTTGTGACTGACCATACCCATCATGGTAGCTATTTCTCTTGCCACTCTTTTGTGGCAGCCATTTTGTGAGAGGACCAAAAATTCTAAAAATTCTCAATTCTAGAATTCTCAAAATTCTAAATATTTCCACAAACCCATAAAGGTTGGCTACCTGTGCATCAGTTTTGGCTGACAAGAGAACAGCTAGAAACTGTTGATATAAGCTTGTCTTCTGTTTCTGTTTAACCATTTATGTATGATTTGTTGTGCCTTTGAGGAATATTTAATAGTCAAGTAGCATTGTCATGTTTACTGTGAGGTCCTGCTGGAAAATTGGATGTTGTGAAAGGAAGTTAGGTAGCTTTACTATATCATGGTGGCATCTAGGTAGTATAGTTTTCCTAAATCTGTGACATTTAAATACAGGTGTAAATATAACCTTAACTTGGTATTGATCAGCTTAGTTGGTAAAAAGAGTAGTTAAGCCAAGAGAAACAGAGAAACAGAGCGAGTCAGAAGGGGTCTCCCGGGCCATCTAATCTGACCCCAGCTGGCTCTGCTCATGACATGCCTACTATGTGCATGTCCAGCCTGTCCTTGAAGATTCTCACTGATGGGGCTTCAGCCACTTCCTGTGGAAGCCCATTCTATACACTCGGGATCTTAACTGTCAGGAAGTACTTCCTGGCATAAAAGAGTTGGCATTGTATAGAAGATTAAGTACTGGTTTTGTACTTGAAAGTCCTAGGTTCACATATCCTTAGTGTGCAGCCCATTGAATAGTCTTGAACAATTCTCTCTCAACTGAAGTTAATGGTTATTATAATGCAGGAGTGGGAGAAGGATTACCCCATATATATTGTCCTAAGCTTCTCATAGTAGGTTTGGTGTACAAACAGGTTTTCTTTTTTTCCTTATTTTAATGTATTGCATTCTCATGAATGGCACATCTCCAATAGTATAATGTATTTTTCTTTTGTGTATTCATGCCTCTGGATCCTCACTATGTATGATAAGGAACTGATTTTTGATAAGACAAAGATTCTGTGCTTCATGATGCCTCTTTTATTTGTACCCAGCCATCTAGAGTTTACCAGAGTTTATTAAGCCAGAAGAAATCATTCCTCAGGCAAAGATACATTACTGTTGCTGACATACATTACTTTTATATGCTTCAGCTAGTGGCATGTATTCAATATCAAATGCTGAAATATGTATGCTAACAAATTCTGTACCTTTTTGCTATAGGAGAAAGTAAGGAAGAGAGAACATTTAGAAACTGGATGAATTCTTTGGGTGTAAACCCTTATATTAACCATTTGTACAGGTAATGTTTTCATTCTGGACTTAGTCTGGCAATTTAATGATTGATGGTGCAACCCTTGCTCATTAAAGTCCAATGAAAAACATCAATTCATTTCAGTGGGATTAAAGATTGTTTCTTTATGTCCAGGTCTACACCAGCCATGATGTACCATCTTATCACAGCACCATATCTATCTCCCCAAAGGTTTTGCTAGACAGCTAGGGCCAGGCATACAGGACATTCATTCATTCATTCATTCATTCATTTATTTATACAACTTATATGCCGCCCCATCGCATGAGCCTCGTGCTCATTTATATCTGTGCAGCTTTAGAAGTAATTTCTAGGATTTATTTATATTTCACAGGAGGCAAAGCCAGCCAATTAATTGCTTATCAGAATTTTCTTGTGTAAGATAAATCAATTAATTGGTACCTTGACCTAGATCACCATAAGCCAACAGAGAAAAGTTTTCTTCTAATCTCAATTGCCATGCAAGACAATTTGTGTGAGTCTCTGTGTGTCAAGGGAGCAGGGAAGTGGGTTGCAGCATGTAGGAAGAGGAAAGTTACTTTGTCCATTTTCAGCTGTAATCTCCCTTGAAAACTGCTCCCTTCCATTGACACAAATGCACAGTTGGGGCTCTGTGGAATAGATCCAGGCCCCCTGTTTGGGTTCAGGGCTCCAGGGCAATAATGTTAAGGAAAATTGAAGGAAGAAGACCAGGAAGACCAATTCTGAGATGGATTGATTCCATAAAGGAAGCCACAGCCTTGAGTTTACAAGAGCAGAGCAGGGCTGTGAAAGACACAATGAGTTGGAGAGCATTCATTCCTAAGGTTGCCATAAGTTGGAGAGGACTTGATGGTACATAACAATAAGAACAAATGATTTAAAGCAACAGAAACAAACAAACAAAAAAGTGGTAGGGTGAAGAATAGGAGGATCATAAAGAGCACATCTTAGATGTCAGGTAAACCTCTCTGGGAAGCTCATGTCAGAACTGGGGTGCCACAACATAATAGGCCTCTTCTTAGTAACTATCTCACTTCCCTTGGCAGGGTTTCCTAGAGAAGGACCACTAAGTGTTCAGGAAGGTATATATGGGATAACACAGTCCTTCAGAACCCCAGTGATAATGCTGGATCCAAGAGCATCCCCAAACTACCAACCTGTTCTGGAAGGGATTGCTAAACAGACAGACTGAATATCACTCATCCAGGCAGACAAACCATCCACTAACAGTACATCTGTCTTGTTTGATTGAGTCAGTTTATTGGCCCCCACCCAGTCTATTACTGCACCCAGGCAGTGATTCAGAGCAGCCACCAGTTCACCTGAATTTGACAAAAAATATAACAATAACATCCCAGCCCATACCTCCAGCAGCTTCATGTAGATGTTGAACAGGATGGGGGATAGAATAGAGCCCTTTAGAACCCCTTAGCATAGCAGCCAAGGCAGAGCAATAATATTCCAGCACCGCCTTCTGGAATTAGCCATCCAAGTGTGAGTGGAACTCTCAATCCAGACAGCCTATCCAAAAGGATTCTTTAGTAGATGGTATCAAAAGCTACTGTTAGGTGCAAGAGAATCAGCAGGTTTTCTCTCCCAGCAGAGATAATGCAGCAGGGCAACCAATGGAACTAGATAATCTGTTTTAGTCAAGTGTTCTTTTAGTTGACTGGCAACCATTCATTTAAGCACCTTGCCTGGGAAGGGAATATTGACAGCCTCGACTAAGTATTTCAGTTGGTAGATGGTCTCTCTGCAGCAGACTCCACCCCAGAATATAGTGACATTACTCAGAGAACAGGTGATTTTGATATGTAAATGTAATTTTTTTCTCTCCTTGTACTCTGACCAGTGACCTTGCTGATGCTTTAGTAATCTTCCAGCTCTATGAAATGATCCGTGTACCAGTACAATGGAACCATGTCAACAAACCACCTTATCCTGTACTAGGGGGTAACATGAAAAAGGTTGGTAAATGATTCTATGTTAGACTATGCCATGCTCATTTAAAGATGTGCTTAACTTGCATAAAAGGAGTTCATAGTCTTAGATTATTAATCCTTGCTTAAGATAACATATGATTAGGGCTAGAAATCTTGAAAATTAACCAAGTGTAGTATCTTGGTTAGAATCTTGGAGCACAGCAAATTAGGAAGCATGGCATGTTGGGCCAGGGGATGAAGCATGGGTACCAAATGGTGGAGTATAAAAGTATCAGTGTGCACAAAGTCTGTTATGACCCAGCCATCGGGTCTTCCAGTGTGCAGCAAAGAATTCTGATGATGAGGCATAGACGCTCTCAGACAGAAGACATAGCCCTGCCATGGTCATTTGACACAAGTGCAAGAGTCCTGGCAGAACTTCCATGTGCCCAGCCTCTGAGAAGTCTCAGGCTATCAAATCAGTTGACTGATCTCCCTGCTGAACCAACATTTCCCTATTATCTTAGTACAAGAAAGTTCTAGCTCCAGAATATGCCTAGATATGGTGCAGTAACCAAAGAATAAAAATAAACGAATAAGATAAGTTTGACACAACCAAATTATGGTTTGTCCAGAAATGCTTTATTACTATATATGTGCAGATTAAACATACCACACTGTTTGTATAGGTGGCCCTTGTCCTTCTGTTGTGGTTGATTTGCCTTTTTCAAAACATCATTTTAATAAGTTAGGTTGCAGTTACCTGTAGTTCCTGAATCTAAATAGCATTTGTCCTTTTAGATTGAAAATTGTAACTATGCAGTGGAACTGGGGAAGACAAAGGCAAGATTCTCCTTGGTTGGTATTGGTGGACAGGATCTCAATGAAGGCAATCCAACATTGACCTTGGCACTGGTGTGGCAGTTAATGAGAAGGTAAGGATTAACCAAAGCTTACAAAACACAATGGCTTTCCAAATCAAGATATCACCTTCACTTGTTTGCAACCAGGTTACACATTTCATTTATAAAATCATTCATTCCCAGGTTTTCCTTATTCCAAGACTTCAAATGTATAATTTAGACACCTGTTCTTTTCTAAAGGTAAATGTGCAATACAACCCTATCAGTATTAAGCCCAGAAGGACTTTTTCCCTAGTACAGGCATCCGCAACACAGCACCTGATTAAGAAAACAAATATATATGGTAATACTACTTGCAACACTGGGGAAATGTGGATTTCAGATGGACAGTGCATAGTTATCACTGTGATAAATAAAAACAGCAGTATATATTTGGAATGCTTTTATGTCCAGCAAGATATTGTAAGGTTATGAAAATGGTCAGAGTAATAGATTATGAAAGTAGTTTAAAGGACAAATCCAGTGGTTCTTAAAAGAAACGAACGACCCTGTACAACTTAGAAAAGAACAGGAAAGGTACATCCATGAACCTCTAAGAAGATACCAACTTAAGCCTGTTGGGGCATTGTGCATCACTGCCAGACTTGCAACTGCAGATACCTGTGCAGCTCCAATGAAAGCTTTCATGAGGAGAGCACACACATGCTGCCACCACTGCCACTTTCCCTGGCCACTACAGCATATGGCTCCCACCTCTGCATGTGTCTGTCACATCTGCCTCTTTTTCTGCCAACCTGCCCACTGACCACATCTGTCTCTACCTGTTGCATTCATCTTCCTTACCAGCCCTGTCCATCATGTCCTCTTACGTCCCTGCCACCCATGTGTGTCTCCCACCTTTTCCCACTTCACCTGGCCCATTCACCTATTTGACATCACATTTCACAGTGCATCCTCTACCCCACTGCAGCTCTCTGAAAAACCACATGTGCTAGAAAAGTGGGTGGTGTGGCAAGACCAAATGCCTTGCTCTGAGCAGAAATTTCTAGGGGTAAAGTTTGGCTCTGAAAAAATATCCTTCCATTATGTTTGGCTCTGAGAAAAGACCCCTCAGAGCCTGATGTTGCCTGATGTTCTAGCTGTCTGTCTGTAGAACCATGGTGGCTGCCTTGTTGTTATGGTTGTTGTTGTTATTTCCAATTTGGCTCTTCAGGAAGCTTGCCTGAAGCTTCCTGGCCACTTGCTCTAGGCGGATCTATAGAGCAGGTGGTTGTGGCTGCAACAGCAGCAATGGGCTAAGGCTGGGACATGTGGCAGCAATAGTGTATATAGGCCTGCAACAGTGGCTGGTTTTCCTGGTGGCGGAGGGAATATACAATTTGCTGTTCCTTCTGCTGTACCAATTGAGGCCTTGTGAGAGGTCCAGCTCTGTGCCCATGGAAGTTAAAATAGCTGAAGGATTTGAAGCAGAGAATTTATAAACAGATAAAACTCTGGCCCTTCATGTTGCCTCTTTGCACCAAATTACTATCTCCAGTTCGCATTGCTTGTTAAAAATGTGCATGGGGGTTCTGTACTAGTCCTGGGGAAGAATATATGTCACAGTTCCCTATGGCTAAGACTAGCAATGCTTGGCCTCCATTAGACATTCTCTGATGACATGTAAAACTGTGACTTATTTTTATTACACTGTAAGTTATTCTACTCCTGTTCCCAGTGCATCTACAACCCCTACAAATTTCCTCATTTGCAGACAGTTGAATTATTGTAATAACTACTAGGAGAATATTACAGAATGTTGTCATTCCTGACCAGTTGCAAATACTGTGTCCTTTCTATTGCAGGTACACTTTGAATGTACTATCAGACCTTGGAGAGGGTGAAAAAGTAAATGATGAAATTATTATTAAATGGGTGAATCAAACTCTTGCAAATGCTAATAAAAATACTTCCATAACTAGCTTCAAGGTAATGTTGACACTATCCAAACAGTGAAAATGAATTAATCCATTACAGATTTATTGCAGATATTTTGCATTAGTACTTCTTTAAATGGCCTGTAAGTGGGTTAGGGTTTGATCAGATTACCATTTTAATATATTTTAATGCACAGCAATTTGCATATTAGACCTTAAATGGATCCTTAGATCCTTGTATTTTTTTCTGTTTAAATAGAGGGAAAACTTATTTAGAACATAGAATTTGAGCACATTGATAGAGTTCAAGAAGCAAACTTGAAACCTTTCAGGGTGGCTTTTGAAGAACTAAGTAAATATTTATCCCATCTTGTGATAGCAGTGAGATTTGGGGCACTTGCAATATGGTGTTGTATTCAAAATAGTAAAAGATATATACATTTAACAGAATGTGATCTGGTTCTTCCACAAAACACAAGATAGTAAAAAACAAAAATAGATTAGAGCATTTTACTTCATAAAAATATCAACATTTCCATAAGATCTTAATATTTACTGAATAGCAGAGAATAAAATAATAGATAATTTTCCAATGGCAGATTTAGTTTTTCTTATAAAGTAATCTAAACTCATTAAAAACAATGCAGACTGGTAAAGACTTTATTTCTACTAATTTTTGTAGAATTTCTATGTGTAAATTGCAATAAATCATACAGAAACAAAATTAGCTGGTATATTCAGAGAGAGTACATTGTGCTATAAGACAAAAGAAATTGGGAGCCCCACATGTTCACTTTTCAATGAAAAAATAGTTACAAACTCTTGGGCTTTCTTTTTGTAGTACCCTCAGAATTTCTCTGTTCCATATTCCAAAAAGAAAAAAAAGGCTACAGTCCTTAAAAACATCCTCTTGCATAATCTCCATGGGCTTCAAACAAGTATAGTATTCTGAAGATCAGTCTATTCAGCAGTGAAAGTAGAGGTGTCAAATAAAAATTTCAGGACCATTTAACCCTAATTTAGAAATTGTTATCTTGGCACTGGAACATACTAACTGATAGAATGATGAACTAATATGTTCCACCATGATTAGTACTAGAAAAGGACTTTACTTTTTTTTAAAGCTAGGTTTAAGTGCATAGTGTGCATGGTAGCAAATAGGCTATAAACAAATCCGGAAATCATACTGTCCATCTGCCAGGAAGAACAGCATGCTGAGACTCTCAAGGAATGGAGCTAATTACTAATTCTGTGGGACCTCCTGCTGATTTCTTGATGTCATGGACTAGACTGCCCATCTGCTTTAGTTATTGAAAGGAGGTGACTACAGCAGTAGCACCTGCTATTTTGAGGCAAAGAGAGAGTGCATTTCAGTATCCTAGTAACAAAATGCAGAGCTCAGAGGCAAGTTCAAAGTAGCATTGGGATTGTAGGAATAAGTAGATTATGACATTTATAAACAAGCAAAGGAAAATTTGATCAGAAAGAAAATACAAACATATGAAATGTCATTCTGGTAGATTTCAAAAGCCTCTTGATAATAATAAATACAATTGGGTACTTTGATGGTTTTTACTGACACAGGTATGAGTTTATGCTCATTCATGGTCATAAATCCACATAAGGAAGGACAAGCAAAGGGTTTATATATCAATGAGAGAGTAGATAAAAGGGTGATATCTGGTAAAATATTGGTGAGTATTAAGAAAAAAATATTTTTCATTGGTGAAATGTTTGCATTTCTTCTTTCAGGACAAATCTATTAGCACCAGTTTACCTGTATTAGATTTAATAGATGCCATTGCACCAAATGCAATCCGTGCAGAAATGGTTAAGAGGGAAGATCTTACAGAAGCAGACAAACTGAATAATGCTAAGTAAGTCCTTAATAAACAAGAAAGGAATCAAACACTGTTTATTCCTTTATTAAACACAGTAGTGCTTGCTCATTCCAGCCTCTTCCAGAGGGATTATTGTGTTAACAGCAGAAACAAGAAACTGTCCAATGCCACTTTAAAGAGTAACATTTTTCTGGTCCACAATTTCATGAGTTAGAACCTCTGTACTGAATATATACCAGGCTCATCTGCCTGCTTTTCAACTAATACTATATGCATCTAACAAAGTGCACTCTGTGAAAGTTCAACATGTCATCTGGCAACTGAGGGCCCTTAATGGGGATGCATTCAATGCCTAGATGGCAACCTGCTTTTGCAAGTGATTTTCATTTGCTGAATCAGAGTTCAGATGTTATACACATTAACCCAGCATGATTTACATCTGCAAATTATATTGGAATTGTGCTGATCCCAAGTACCTTGTTGGTAGTCCAAAGGTGAGCTAGAAGGATTCACATGTGTACAATCTAGCAGTCAGTTCTCTCTTCAATGTAATGCTACAACTCTAAATCAGTCATGCAGGAAACTGCATAGTGACACAGCCTTATCGGCTATTGAAATGTTGACAACAATAAAGCTTAGCCATTTTGAGGTTCAGTTTGTCTCCCATACTTTTGTATCTACAGTAAACCACTAGGACAAGCAGTGTAAGGTGATTAGTTTCAGTGTTATTAGTATGCTGATGATACCCACCCCTATCTCTCTTTTTCATCAAATCCAGATGAGATGATGAGTTGCTTCTGTAAATGAGCATCCTTGATTAGGAATGATCTGAATAAGGATGAATAAAAACTTACACTATTTTTTTATAATATCCTGTGATCTTTCTGATTTATGAGTTGTGATTCCATACAGTGTACTGCTTTGGAAGTTTTATATTGAAAGTTGATGTAAAAACCTATAGTAAATAAATAAAGTAAGGACACAGCCTAAACTGGATGCCCATAATCCTCCACCCTCAGGGGATTACAGGCATTGTATACAGGGCAGGAAGAACTCTGAGGTGAAGGTTGCCTTCACTCCCCTTCAGCCCTGTAAAGCATTTTGATAGCAAATCTCAGGTGTCTATGTTTAATGTTTCAAAGAGGGAAGAAAGGAGGCTGAGGCACTGCCAGGAATGCCTCTTCCCCTCTCCACTTCCAAAAGCCCTTCTCCAAGGTCATTCTTCTGACTATGAGGAAGCAGTAGGCTGCAAGAGGGGAAGGAGGATCCGAGCACAGATTCAGCCTCATAACTGGAAATCCAAAAATCCTTTGGCTGTCACTGTTGATACAGTACAGTAACCATAAAATTGTGCTTTAAGATAGTTTACTAAATTTAGTCATCTGTATGGCTGTACAGCCATATATTGTTAAGCAATATATATTTAAAGAAAATTTGGCCTTGTTACTGTATGGTCTGTACAAGAATTTGCTTCCGAGTGTTGAAGGGATTCTCCAGAACAGAATAGGCATAGAGGTCTCCGGTGATTGGGGGATTGCTGAAAATGGATGCTCTGACCCATCTATTAATGTAAAACTATCATTGGATACAACCCAATGTAATAAAGTTATTGTGTTTTATCAGTTAGATGGTGCTAAATGAATAAAATGTGTATTCTTTTCTCTCTCCAAGATATGCAATTTCAGTAGCTCGGAAAATTGGTGCTTGTATATATGCCCTACCAGATGACTTGGTAGAGGTGAAGCCAAGAATGGTTATGACAGTGTTCGCATGCTTGATGGCAAGAGGCCTGAACAAAATAAAATAAAGAAGACTTTTTCATATTTTTTGCCACGATAAACACAATGAATGCCTCATTGTTTACAGACTAATGAAATTTAGTAGCTGTAAAACAGAGATAATTTATATATACAAATATGGAGATGTATAGAGAGATTATTTAAAAATTATTGTTTATATTTAAGGTTTCATCAGAAGATTTTTATATCAGTAATTTATGAGCTAACATTACTACCATAATGCAATCATCATGATTAAAGTTACTACAATTATATAGCCTTTTTAAGTATTTATAATTTATGCTGTTTTCTTAATTCCTGGGTGGGAAACCTCCCATGGGCTACAAATTCCATTGTCTTTTACCAATGACTATACTGGCTAGGACCCATGGGAATTGTAGGCCAAAGCATCCAGAGGGCTACAATTGCCTGACCCTTAGGACAAAGCTATCAAGATTAAAATGCTATTTTAGGAGCTGTTGTGAAGTTAAGATTTTGTTCCTTTGTGAATGTGGATACATGAAACACCTTGAAAATCTGTTAGCATTCCAGATAGATTATGTTCACCAAAAGATCATTGTCTTTGTCTTTATTTCAAGGAACTGTCTGAATTTATATTGCATTTTGGCTGCAATCCCTATAGCACTGAATGGGATTCATTTTTGAGTTTTGAAATTTTCACTATAAATTGCTGTAGCAGCTAAAGATGTTTAATTTTAAGGCTAATTTCATTTGCTGGAATTGCAAGGTAATGAAACTTGTTAATGTTTTGAGGCTGTTTTGGTTCAACTGTATTACTGTACTTGGAAATTGCTGTAGTGCAACCTGTCCCCTGATCATATTTAAAATACTGAAGATGAGATGTGGGGTTGAAAGTTCCCTTGTTTAACATTTCCTACCATGCTTTTCCTGCTGGTTTAAATCATAGTTAACTATTATGGCATAACCTGAGTTGCACATGATTAATGCTAACCAAGATAATCAGGATTTATAAACCTGACTTTAAAGCTGGCTTCCCAAGGGGCTATAGCTGATTATAAGCCTTAATGGTGGATATACTGAGGAAAGGATGAGGTAAATTTACTCTAGAAAGGAGCAAGCATATGATTGCTCCTTTTGACCCTTCTCTTTAAGCATGGTCAAGGCATGGGATGCACTATATATACTGGGCCCTGAATAGTAGGTTTGTTTATCCAATGGTAACTTATTTGACATGTCCTTCAATAACTCAAAAAGGGCATTTGTACTGATGCTATGATATACATATACCATACATATGGTAGTATGTGAGTTCTGTTAAATTTATGGAGCATGCTATCCAATTTATGACAGTGCTTAGGAGAGGTGGGATGGTGTATCTACATAGTTGTGCCAGTGTAACTGCAGTTTTGTTGGAATAATGGTGCTTTATGCTTTTATTCTATAGCCTCTCAATATATGTTGACTATAGCATTCTGCCCTTAGGGTACAATCCTGTGCATGTTTAGGCAGGCTGGGGAATGCTAAGAGTTGTAGGACTTCTTGCTATTTAAACATGCGTAGGATTGTTCCCTTAGTCCAGGGGTCTCAAACTCAACTTACCTGGGGGCCACTGGAAGTAGAGTCTGGGTGAGGCTGGGCCGCATCAAGTATTCCACCACCGTGGTGGGGGTGGGCCGCTCATCCCGCGGCCAGCCTAGATGCCGCCAGCACTTTGAAGGCCGCAGGGCCCCTCCCCTGTGCCCCACCCGTCCCGGCAATTGGCCTGCGGGCCGCGAGTTTGAGACCCCTGCCTTAGTCATTTAAGGCACAATCCTATGCACAAATTCTATGCATGCTGTAGGGCTTTTTTCTGCCTAAACATGCACAGGATTGCACCCTTAATCAATTAAAATATAACTCATTAATTCAACTAAATTTTTAGAATTGGTTTGAAACACCGGTATTAGATAGAACTTGGTACTTACTTAAATGGATTGTTTTAAATCTGTATGTCTCCTGTTGTCAGGATTGTTCAGTAGAGATACTTGTAATATCTTTAGTGTTTGCTAAAGAAAAATAAGCATATTGTTATGATTTGTAGTCTAGAATAAAATTAAACACAAGTATAACAACGGTAATAAGAAAAACAAAGAATATGTATGTAGTAAACCTTGCAATGAGCCTTGCATTAAAAATGTTATATTAAAAAGCAATAAAGAGAAAGGAGAGTTCACTTCTGGGCCTCTCTTTAAATGCAATGTGTTTTCTTGTACATACTTTTAATGTGTATTCATTTTCTGTTCCCATTTTTCCCCTACAGGTGTTTTGATTCTTTCCCAAATGATACTATTTGACTCTTCCAGTATAAAGAATATATTGTAGATTTAGAGTGTGATCCAAAGCATTCCATGCTTGATGCATGTAAGCTTTACAGTATGGAGGTGTAAGTGCATCCAGTGTAGGGTGAACATATGGCAGCATTGTCTAGCACCCTGCATTTTATGTAGTCAGACATTTTTAGCTGACTAGATGAAGCACCATGGAGTAGGAGGGAAGGTGATTGGTGCTTCATATGGATATGGAATATGCCATCAACTCCAGCTCCTTACACTCCCTGCTTACATGGCATGCCCCTTTACTCTTCTCCAAAGCTGATTTTTGATCTCAGAAAAGAAGCTGAAACAGTTCTTTCTGCTCCAGCTATGAGTGGGGCAAGGCAGGAGCTTCTCGTTCAGAAACCTATAGAATTGCATCTTTAGATGTACTTTTGAATACGTGATAATGTAAACCACATAGAGAGCTCTGGCTATTGGGTGATACAGAAAGGCAGTAAAACAAACAAACAGGGAAACTGCATTAACCTAGATACTTGACTCAGAAGACTCATAAAATAAGACTCAGATCTCAGAACGAATCCAGGTTAATCCAGTTTGTATCCTGCTTTACCTGGATACAATGTGTGTATGTGTGTATACTTATATAAATGTTTTGAGCATTCATATTTTCTATTGCTGATTTTCTTGGAAAAGTGAATTTATTCAAGTGCTAAACCTAGATGAATAAAAACAAAAAACAAAACAGAGCACTGATCCATAATTAAGACAAAAAGCACATCTTAAAACTTTTCAAGTGAGCTTCTTTAAGTAATAAGAAATGGAAATATAGTTCAACTATAAAGAGAAGTTGCAAGTCTAACTGTGATACATTATGGCAATACTGCAGAAAAGAATGCTCTTTCCAAGTTGTAAAGATCCCAGCGACCCCAGAGCCTTCCACAAATAAATCAGTGCAAGATTGGACTGGTTGGTGTGGAATATATATAGGAAGTTGCCTCATAATGATCAGTCAGCCCCATTGGTCTATCAAACTCAGTTCTGTAGTGTCATTTCAGGGTTTTGTACTGGTTTCCTAGCCCTACCCAGAGGTCCAGGGGAGCTGAACCTGGCTCTCTTCTTCGTGCAATTCACTGAACTCTAGTCCTTCTGAGACACACTTCAATATATTGCCAGTTTGGTTATTCAGGCTATCAAACTAACTGTGAATATTACATAAACATATTTCTGAAACCTAACAGTAAAAGAAGTAAACAATTTTTAACACAAATAGGCAAAGTATGTTTGAACTTGTCACCTGCACCCCCAAATATGAGAGCCATGCTGGATCAGCCCAATGGTTCACCACAGTGAAACAGCACTTTCCTGCCAACTGGTATGCATAGGCATACTGCCCTTGATATCAGAGGAGGCACATAGCCATCATTTCTAGCAGCCATCAATAACCTCCTCCCTTGAATTTGTCCAACCCCCTTTTAAAGCTGACCAAATTGGTGGTCATCATAACTCATGGAACTGAATTCCATAGTTTATCTATGTATTGCGTGAAGTATCTTCTTTGTGCATTCTTAATCTCCTACCAATGATGGCAAGCTCTAGTATTAGAGAAAGAAAATATCTCCTTGTCCACTTTCTCCACAGCATGCATAATTCTGTGTACCTTAATCATGCCTCCTCTTATTCAACACCTTACTTTGGGTTTCGTCTGCATATATTACCTTTTTTCAACACTTTCACTTCTCCACGTCTACTGATTTAATCAGTAGACTGGGATCTCTGGGACTGCACTTAAACAGACCGAATGGGATTTGGCGCAGGGAAATAGATAAGCGTCAGCCACAGTCAAACGTCGGAATGAGGAGGGAAATGGGGATAGGTGCTTTGTGAGAACGTGCATTACAGCTGTGGAGAGTATGTATGTATGTGGTGGAGAGTAGCGCGTAGCAAACTGTAAGGCCACCTCTAGAATATGTTCCAGATAATATCTCCCCACTCCTTATCGATCAGGTGTAGGTTGTTAGAGATTTATGTGCTCTGTTCTTGGGGGTTGAAAGGGGCACCCTCTCCTCTCGTCTCTGACAGAAAGGATGAAGGCCTGTTCAGGCGCCGTCGCCGAAAAGCCGCAGAGAATGCGGAGCCTCTTTGCGCCTGCGCAGCGAACTCGCGCTCCCCTCAGTTTGACAGCTCTGGCGGTGGCGGCAGAAGCGCTCGTTTTTCTTCGGCTCACGCGCGCCCTCGGTGCGTGCGGCGTGCGTTGGCCGGGTGACTCCCGGCGCGGGGAGGAAGGCAGGGAGGCAGGAGCTGCTGGTGGTAGTGGGGGCCCTTGGAGCGGCCGCTGTCGATGGGCGTCCGCTCAGCGGAGCCGGCGCTATGGCTGCTCTTTACCAGAGCGCCGACCCGTCGGCCTCGGCTTCCCCGAACAAGCTGCTGGCGCTGAAGGATGTCAGGCAGGTGAAGGAGGAGACCACCCTGGACGAGAAGCTCTTCCTGCTGGCCTGCGATAAAGGTAGTTCCCGCTGCGACTGTGGCTCGTTAGGAGAGGCCGTTCCTCCCCGCGCCTCGGTCGGCCGGTCCGCCGCGGCAGGCGGGAGAGCGGCTCTAGCGCTTGCGCCCCTCCGGCGCGGCGGGCCTGTCGCCTGCCTCTCCTGGGCACCTCTCGGCTCAGTCACGCGGATGAGAAAGCCACCGCCCCCGTAGAGGAAAGCGGCGGGTGGAGGAGCTGGCCTCCCTTTGCTGCTCCGCAGCATCCTGATCGCGGCTCTGCGGCGAGGTCCAGAGCGTGTGATGTGAGGGGGCTTAATCGGCATTGACTCAAGGGGGTTGGTGGCTGGGTGGGAGGTAACTTTAGTCCCTGATCTCATGGCAAAGAGGCGTTTTAGATGGCCGCCTGCCTTCAGCTGAGAATCACACAGTTTATGTTTTTATTCTGAAATGATATGTCTTCCTCTCCCCTATTCATCCATTCCTTTTTACAAATAGGGGTGGTTCTAGGGTCTCTTAAAGGCAGACACGCACACACAACATACCTAAGATAGCACATGCCAGTTAGCGATTTTTTTAAAATTTATTTTTGACCTGAGGGCCTGAGTATTGGATCTTTTAATACCTAGCGGCTTACCTGAAATGGAGTGGGAGTTCTATTGCCCTGCTGCTCTCTGAGTGGTCATTTGGGGGCTCTCTCAGCTCTGGGGCCTTAAGCTTCAGCCACTGCTGTACCACTGGACTGATATGTCGGCCTCCTAGTAATGGCAAGAACATCCAAGGTACCCTGGGTCTCCTTTGCGCCTTTCTCACATTTAATAAGGAATAAAAAATCTGACAGTTTCTGAGTGTTATTTGAATGGTTACATGCGAAGGCATTTGGGGTTATGAAGCAAAAAACATTGGTGTTGTGCAGGTAAGATGCAGTCCTAATTCGTGAGTCTTCAAATGTTTTAATGCCTTTTCATCATACAAACACATAAGAAATTGCAGGAAAGTCAGTCATTGTCTGGAAATGCTTCCTTCTTTCTCAGTATAAATTGACAAAATGGCAATTATTGAGTTTTGGATAAGAATATAACAAAAATATGTCATACTAATTTTGGCTTTTCTAAATGAGGCATTTATTGTGCGCTCAAGATTCCTTGGTCCCAGTGAATTACAGGTGCTTAACACAAAAATATCAGCCTCCAGCATCTTTCTCATGCTTTTCTATGGTCTTTTTAGAGCAAGGAAAGTGTAGCACTGTCAGCAAATGGCAGAAAGAACTGGAATGAGATGTTCATGTATTTTCACTATTATGTCATACCACAGCACCACCTTGTAGTTGTATAACCAAATATTTTAAAAGATCAAGAAAGAAGAAAACTCAGAAAGAAAAGATCACAGCATCTAAAGGAGCTAATCTTAACCCCAAAGAGAATCTGGAAGCAGAAGTCTCAGTATAGTAGTGGCTTAAAAGTTTCATGTTGAGAAATGTCTTAGGGTTAATCCTAGGCATACTCAGACACCCCCCCCCACATTTCCCCAGCCAGTATGGAAGTTGTAGGTCTTTTAAAAAGTCTAAATGTGCATTAGATTACAGCCTAATAATGATGTGATTTGCAGTTTCTCTTACTAAAATAATGCCCTAATACAAATCTAAAAGCCCCCCTAATTTTAACATAGAGATATTCTTGTGTTGAACATCTCTCCCTAGATGTATATATGTATAAACATGCATTCAAACTACTATCAGTTTCCAAATTTGGGCCAAATAATTCAGTTTGCTTTATTATTTTAGAACTCAGAAAGCAGTTTAAAAATGTAACATTAACAAAGACTTGAAGGCTGTGGCTTCAAATGACAAAAGTATTCAAACTATCAGTGCTTCATAGCTATTACTGGGTATGTATCTGCCCCAAATAGGTACGTTTGCTTAGATAGCAATGGCATGGGACATCTGGGGATGTTCTGGCCTTGGAGAACTGTGATTACTTTTCCTGTTTCTTTGTTTACATTAGTGCTGTTACTGTGTTGTAGGATGGGCCACTTGATTTTTTCAGGCCCCTAAATCGGGCAGCCTAACCAGAGGCTTGTGCTAAAAGAACGAAGGATCTGTGATCTTGACAGAAGAAACTATCCAGTCAAGATGTGATTATTGCCGATCATCTGCTAGGCAGGCAGGATGGGGAGAAAGGTCTCTAAGCTTGATTTTCTCACCAGATTGGTAGAACTAGAGGTGCTGATCAGCTGCTAGGCAATACGTCTAAGGTCCAGGTACAGTGCTTTAGCATAGCGGGTATTTTGTACAGGAATTTGTGTTGAATTATTACTGTGTTTTCCCTCTGAATTAGAATGTTTATCTTTTGCACACCAGAACATAAGGCTATGGTCCAGGAGATGTCTGAAATAAAAATACCTGTTTTATCTAATAAACATTTTGTATAATATGTTAGAATATTTACAAATTAAAATATCTTGAAGTACTAAAATAAGCTTTTGGGTATTGCTTGTTTAGGTGACTATTACATGGTGAAGAAACTTTTGGAAGAAAATGGCTCTGGTGAAATGAACATAAATTGTGTGGATGTGCTTGGGAGAAATGCAGTTACCATAACTATTGAAAATGAGAATCTAGACATACTGCAGCTCCTCCTGGATTATGGCTGTCAGGTACAATTGTTGTTGTTTAAAAATCAGTCATAATAATTTAATATCAGTATCTGTTTGTTTGTGTTTTCACCAGAAAGATATTGCCCTTAGTTTCAACTCTTTTTGTAATTAACAAATGCATATTTTCTTCTATAGCATACAGTTTGGTATCAATTCTTTAATTTTCTTCAGTCTACAGATGCACTATTGGTGGCCATTGACTCAGAAGTTGTGGGAGCTGTGGATATACTACTTAATCATCGACCAAAACGATCAAGTAGACCAACAATTGTTGTTAGTATTGCTTTAATTTTATTTTAGGACACATACAGTACTTAAATCTCAGTATTATTGTTAAGTTCATATTTGATAGTGGGAAAGTTTTGGCCTTTGAAGCTTTGGGAACAAATTTAGTTTCTTTTGATTATGCATCTGAAAAGACCACAAACATTACGCACAATATAGGTTTGATCTCTGAATTAACAATGAAAAGCATTTACTTCATTTTCTCAGACCTCTCTTTATCTATTGCAGAAATTAATGGAACGTATTCAGAATCCAGAATATTCAACAACGATGGATGTGGCACCTGTCATTTTAGCTGCTCACCGTAACAATTATGAAATCCTTACTATGCTGTTAAAACAGGATGTGTCACTACCCAAACCTCATGCTGTGGGTTGTGAATGTACATTGTGTACAGCCAAGAACAAAAAGGATAGTTTGCGGCACTCCAGGTTACAACAATTTGTTCTTTATTCATGCATGCAGTTTTTCTCTGCTTTTCAGTAGTATTTCCAACACAGCTTTGTAAAGACTTCTAAGCAATTCTTTGCTTGATCACTCATAAGAAGTAAGAATAATTACCTGGCAAGGGTCATAGCTCTGTGGTAGAGCACATGCTTTGGATAGAGAAAGACCCAGATTTACTTTCTTGCATCTCTCCATAGAACTGGGAAAGACCCTCGGAAAGTCACTGCCAGGCAATGTACGTAGTAAGACAGATGGTCTGGTTGAAATGGGTATAAGATTTGCAAGACTGTTCTATTAGTGGCAACAATGAATTCTAATCTTGATTGTGAGGCAGTATGCACTATAAATACTTGTCTTTTGCCAGATTTCTGTTGTCATACTGGAAGTGGTATTGTATACAGATATGCATGCCAGATTTCTAAAATTAAAAACATAAAAAACACTAATCAAATGGAAACCACTTGTCTTAAGATATCTTTTACATTTTTATCATAGATTTCGTCTTGATATATATCGATGTTTGGCCAGTCCTGCCTTAATAATGTTGACAGAAGAGGACCCAATTTTGAGAGCCTTTGAACTTAGTGCAGATTTAAGAGAACTAAGCCTTGTAGAAGTTGAATTCAGGTTTGGATAAAAACTGAATTTGTATTACTATTTCATTTCAGTATCATATTTCTAAGTGTAATCAAAAGCAGGCACACAAATGGGTCAACAACACTATCCAAATATAGTTTTTAAATGATACAAGAATTTTTTACAGTTCAGTCCTGTTCATGTTTACTTAACATGAACAGGATTTAACAAACATAACAACAAACCATGTGTTTTGATTTTAAAGAAACAAATTGGTGTGCCCCATTGAGGAAATACATGAATTATACAATTGGAAAGTAAATAACTTCTGATCATTTGTATTTTCATGATACTTTAAATCTTTAATTTGAACTGCCTTGATTTTAACTCAGTCCAGTCTGGTAATTTTGAATCCAGAACATACTTTTATGCTGAAGTTAGCATTAAAAATATATTAGTATCTGTCCCTTCTTCTATTTCTTAGAAATGATTATGAAGAACTAGCCCAGCAGTGTAAAACATTTGCTAAAGATCTGCTTGCACAGGCAAGGAATTCCCGGGAACTTGAAGTTATATTGAACCATACAGCAAGTGATGAACGTGTGGATAAGCGAGGATTGTTAGAAGAGAGAATGAATTTGAGTCGGCTAAAGCTTGCTATTAAGTATAACCAAAAAGAGGTATGTTTCTTGTGGGTGGGGATTCATCCAAAAAACAGATGGCATAGATCAGTTATATATCTTAAGAGGTGTCCTGTCTTTAACAGTTGTAATAAGTATAGAACTAATTCTGTACAAGCCAACTCAGAACTGAGTCCCACTGAGTTTAGTGTTAGGTAAGTAGATATCAGATTGCAGCATAAATGAATCAAGTTTGTGAAATCTGCATTAAAAGTACTTGTTTGGAAAATAGATTTAGCAGCCAAATTTAATATCTGGAGATAAATGGGTATTATGATGATACTGGCAAGAAAATTAGTACCTTCATGCCAGGATTGGGCCCTTGTCCCAGCTTAACAGCCTCCAATGGACTGGCATCTCTGATTCTCACTTCTTGTATCGGATGAAGCACAGTGGTCTACTTAATTTTACTGTATCATGTTTGTACTGGTTGGGAATGTACAATGGTACTGCAGCTGTTACAACTAAATTACATCTTCATTAAGGAGTAATATATTGTACGAGTCTTTTACAGTAGATGTCCTGCACTATAAGGAATACCGGTTCCTCATCTGACCACTTTCACAGTTTTATTTATTTAACATACCTGGTTTGCACAACATGGCAGGCTCACTGAGGATTTGTTTAATCTCCAGTGAACCATGGTGTGTGTTGGGTATGTGCAGGTAACATTTTGAGTATGCAGCCTCTATTCAAAGGTGGTGGTGGTTGTGTAAACCTGACTATGGAAGGTTATTGTGGCTGAGTTTGCACTGCACAGAACCCCCTGCATGGGGTTGCATATTTAAAATGTCACTTGGCGTGCAGCCTGACCATTGTGAGTTCAATGACCTATGGTGATCTGGCAGAGTTGTGTGACCTGGTGCATTGTGGGCTTTGGTTTGTTTTTCACTTTTGTCTATAAATCACTACAGTTTTTTTGTGTATTCTAATGTTCCTGGTATTGGAGAAAAGCCAGATTATGGCCCTGGTGGGTTTCTGGTATCCTAAATATTCCTGTGAAGATAATTCATCTGCTCCATGTAAGGTTTCCTTTTCATTTGCTGTTCTGTGAAGAAGAGCCCCTTGTCATGCACTCAGATATTGTGGAATTGGGTAGCTATTCATGGGATTACATTTAAGGATTGCTTGTTTACTTTATTTGCAGTTAATTGCTCTACTGCTAGCAAATACATGATGTGGTAATTAATTATTGACCTCCAGGTATTTTAGATATACTATAAAGTAGTGTTTGTCATGCAGATCCTAAATAATTATTCAGAATTAAAACTTTAAAAATAGTACCCTTCAGATTACTCTCTCATTGCAAGTTAAATGTTTCTGTCTGGTTTTCTTACTGGTATGAACAAAGCTTGAATACTTAAATCTACTGGCCACTTTAGAAGTGATATTGATATAGAAATCTTTTCCTATTGCAGTTTGTTTCTCAGTCAAATTGCCAGCAGTTTCTCAATACTGTGTGGTTTGGACAAATGGCAGGATACCGCCGGAAGCACACATTTAAGAAGATTTTGACAGTCTTGACAGTAGGAATCTTTTGGCCACTACTATCTATTTGTTACTTATTGGCTCCAAAATCTCGAATAGGAAGAATAATTCATACACCTTTTATGAAGTTTATTATTCATGGAGCTTCATATTTCACATTTCTGCTATTACTTAACTTGTACTCACTTGTCTACAATGAAGATAAAAAAAATACCATGGGACCAGCATTGGAGAGAATAGACTATCTTCTAATACTTTGGCTCATTGGTAAGTACAGAATGAATAAAAATTATTTATTACAGTCCTAACACTGGGATCATTCTAAAAACACTGTATAATCATGTAAATACCTATTGGATTGTCTTTCATTCTGATAGAGGCAGAGCGTAGCAATCTTCAATATACTTCAGAGAGCTACAATTCCTATTTTTCCAGGCTTGGGTAAAATAACTCATATGGTCATGACTGATTGGAAACGTTAAAATCAAAGTTTTAAGTATGCCCCCCAGAGCCATTTTAGGAGTGTATGACTAGTACTAAAATTGTGTTTTCTGAACACTGATCTTCCTCTACAACAAACAGTGATGTATGCCATATACTTCTTTATTTTATGGTAAATAGGAAGACAGCTGTTCATACTTAGAAAATCTTTTTCTATACTTAATCACTTGTGCTTATTTATTGGCTTTTTAATAAACAGCGTTCTATCCAACAGTTATTTGCCATCTGCCAGTTTTTTCTCCTTCCTTCTCTTTTATTGTAATACAAATTTTATGTAAAAATGGAATTTTGGAATTCTAAAGGCATGATTCTTGTCTGTTGCAATATACTAATTACATGTGGTGGCATCACATAGGGCATAGCCAAGGCCAACTCCCACTGTATGTGCAGGCAGTGTATAAAGAAATACAGGGATGGGAGGTCTGTATGAGTCTATTAGCATCTTATTCTAGGTCTCCCCTGATCTAGATGTCTTTTAGCTCAGTCTCTTTGTGATGCAGTAGGAGTATTTTATGCTGAGCACTGGGGACAGGGGATAGGTGTACAGTGGGTCCCCTGTGCTATAAACTGATTTGTGTTGGAGCTGTGCTCTGAGGAACTCTCTGAGAACATAATACCTTCTTACAAAGGTGGAAAGTGTCCCATAGATAACATGTGGGTTTTTCAGTAAATTGCAGCTGTTTCCTGCACTAAGCACCTTGGCAGCAGGGAAGGGTGTGTGCTCATAGGGGGGAAATGCTCCGAAGTATTCTGTGGAGTATTGTATACTGGGAGCAATTGAGATGCCTGAATACATAGTGCATCTTTCAGAGCATCTGCTAGAAGCCACCCCCTCATGCCCTACAATCCTTGGTGTTTTCTCACTGTTGTGAACAACATGAAAATAGGAACCTATTCCCCATTGCTTTGGCTGTGGGGAATAGTGGTAAGATTTCTTGCAGCTCTGTGAGCTGAGCATGGAGGAACCAAGGGCTGTGCATGGACTGGGTTGCTTTCTTGTACATTACAGTGTATGTTCTTTATGCATGAGATAATATTTATTTTGAAAGGTTTTTGGGAGGAGATGCAAGGTGGGAGAGAAGAAACTTTTGTGTGCTGCCATTTTACATGCAATACAGTTGTGAGTTATATTTGCATGTTTTTGTCCTAATTTTGCCCAGTCTTTGGAAGGAAGGATTGTGTAAAACATGCATGCATGCATGTTGTCTACATATTAACATTGAGGGACGGGTAGAAGAGTTTCTGATACTCAGAATCAGTAGGATTCTGAGTATTACATTATTGCACCATGCAAAAGGAGTTCCTGTATCACCCTAGAAACAATTTCCAGATTACGTGAACTACCTACATAACCACCAGGGGGAGCATAGGTACAAGTATTCAGTGTTGATTTGCTCAGATTTTCTACAAATCAAACTATGCACATTTTTGGTAACTAAGCTTAATCCTATGGGAGACACATTCTTTAAATAATAATAGTGCTATATACACTGCATGCTCAGTTATCTGAAATTCTCTCCATTGTTATTGTTAAAAATGTTTGAACAAAACTACTTGAAATGATGATCTAGAAATCCTGAACCTTGTCATATTTTTAACACTTACTCCTATCCAAAGAGTAGAGGTAGCTAATGTTAATTATCTAGTAAATGTAGAGATACTTTTCATGCCTCTGAGAAGCACTTCTTTCTTTCAATAACAACCTTTATGACTGCTAATAAGAGAGAAGAAACAGAATGAAAAGGTGCTAAGGGATAAATAATTAGCATCTAACTTTGAACATGTACCCTCATGGCTTTAGCCAAAGAGCTTTTGCACTAGCAAACAAATACTTAGGTTGCAGCATACATCCTGTTCCAGTATAATAACATAGGAAGGGTGAGATGACTGCATCAGAAGATGCATTTAAAGAGCAGCAAATTATACCTCTCCCTCCCTGCCCATGTCAGGAGTGCCCCTTGCTGCCACCATTGTCCCCCATTTTCCAGTGGCTGCATTAGAACCCTGCCATATACTGCCCTGCTGTGTGTTTTTTGCAGCAAGAAAGCAAGTGGCAGGGCACTCTGAAGCAGCTCCCTGTTCTTTGCTTCTCTTGTCAAGGGCTGTGCAACGGGAATCAGTGGCTGTGAGCCTTTAATGAGACCTCTTCTTCTAGCCATCTGGTTCTCCATGGAGCTGGTGCAGCAGTGGTAAATGTAAGGAGGCACAAGATAAGTGGGGAGGGAAGTGGGAGGGTGTTCTGCAGTAGCAGCAGAATGAGGAGTGATATGGCAGTGGAAGGGAGGGAGGCAGTGCAGCAGCACAAGTTCTTCTCCACTTTAGGCAGTGAGAGAGCACACATGGGGTTGGTTACAAATAAAGATACTATACTGGTATTATATAAGCAGATGAGTTGATTGTGCCTGAGGAGATGTTGAGGACTGGGGGTTGGGGGAGACATTTTAATTATGCAAAACAATAAGAACAGAACATATATAGTTAGGCAGTGATAGTATATAAGATGAGCTATATATTGGATATACTATCAATTGGATAAACATGTCCAATTGATTTTTATAAACATACAGTGCCCTGTACTCAAGCAATATTTCAAAGCTTTTTTGGTTTCAAAAACATTTTTATGTGATTTGGGAGACCCACTGTTTTGGGAAGTCAAGCCCAAAGCTTTTTGGGGCATGCAGAACTATTTGCTTTGTGCTTTAGATCCCTGGTCTATATGTTCAATTATTATTTATTTATTTAAAACATTTTTATGCCGCCCCCATCGCAACGAAGCCTCGGGGTGGTTCACAACAGAAACAAAATACATAAATAAATAACAATATAACAAAAAAATTATTTAAAAACCCCAGGTGCATCTCGGCTAAAAATTTCAAATCCTATAAATACAAATAATTTAACAATTAAAATAAGTTTTAAATAAAAAGGTCTTAGCCTGGTGCCAAAAAACAAATAATGACGGCGCCAGGTGGACCTCTCTGGGGAGAGCATTCCATAGATGGGGTGCCACCGCAGAGAAAGCCCTCCTCTGGGTACTCACCCTCCTAATATCATTCATAGAGGGTTCCCAGAGAAGGGCATCTGTTGCTGATCTCAAGGGGCGGGAGGGCATAAATGGACACAAGCGTTCCTTTAGATATCCAGGTCCCAAGCCGTTTAGGGCTTTATAGGTCATGACCAACACCTTGAATTCGGCCCGGACTTCAATCGGGAGCCAGTGGAGCTGACGGAGAACTGGGGTTATATGAGAACAACGCCCAGTCCCCGTCAGCAACCTGGAAGCTCTGTTCTGCACCAACTGAAGTATCCGGAACGTCTTCAAGGGTAGCCCCACATAGAGCAATTACACAGCAGTTTTATGGTGTGCATAATACATATGTTCCTTTGCTCCCAAATATTGTTTGATGATCTGTAAGATCCCTTTATCTTATTTTAAAAGACAGATAGAAGGGACTAATACCAATGGCAAAAAAGTCCAGTATATCCCATTGACTACACTCATTTCTATTCTCAGGTATGGTATGGTCAGATGTTAAAAGACTTTGGTATGATGGCTTAGAAGACTTCTTAGAAGAATCTCGAAATCAACTTAGTTTTGTCATGAATTCTCTCTACTTGGCAACTTTTGCTCTCAAAGTTGTTGCCCATAATAAGGTAAGCATGATCTCTGTAGATTGCTAACACCAGTGTAAAATCACACTTTTGTCAAAAATTAAAAGGTCTTGGGAACATTAATCTTAAAGCCTTGTACAAAAAATAGGCATGTGAAGGGCAAACAACATGTTGAGTTCTTACATTTTTGTAAGTTTTTAGGTCAAATGAATATGATTCATGTGCACTTACTCTTGTCCAAAACAGGATGTGAAATGACAGGAACTTTACTGTTGATCAGCAAGTAAATTTACATTCTCATTTGAAATTAGGACATCTATTATTTCTCTTGATAAACTGAATGAATTTGTGCTATTTTTCTGAATTTAAAACAGGCTTGCAAATTGTGTGCATAGCTGGTCCTTTCCTTAAGGACTCTCTGTACATAAAAGGATAGATTATCATCATCTAGAGCTACTCTGCAGTAGAAATGAATAGGAACTTACAGATTTATCTCTTCAGAAGCTATGAGCATATAATTTTATAAATTGCATATGCAGTTCTTTATGAATGGAAAGTGAATATCTTTCATCGTTAAAATAAAAGACATAACTTGCTTGGTTTTCAGATAGGGCAAATCACAGCTGAAAAGCCAGCTGGTGATCTGATTTCATCTCCCTACCACTTTCCACCCTACTTCATTAACCAGCATGCTAATGATCCAAAGAATCCTTTAAACCAATGCTTTGCTGTTTGTTTGTGGAATGACAGATGACACTGGGATTTATGTGGAGGAGTATGGTGTTGGATGGAGGCTTAAGTGTATTTTCCTGTATTGTGGTCCAGATAAACAATGAGCTCTCCCTGATGCTGCCTGAAGGGCAACAAAAATTATCAGAGGGCTGAAGCAGCTCCCCTCTGAAGAGTAGCTACAACACCAGGGACTGTTTAGGTTAGAAAAAAGGCAAGGGAAGACATGATAGAGGTATTTAAAATAATGCATAATGTTCAAAAAGTGGAAAGCAAGGCATTTTTCTCCCTCTCCTATAACACTCAAATCCAGGAACATCCATGAAGCTGGCTGGTGGGAAGTTTAGAACAGACAAAAGGAAGTTGTTCTTTACACAGCATATAGTTATACTATGGAATTCACTGCCAAGGGAAGTGGTGATGGCCACCAATCCAGATGGCTTTAAAAGGGGGTTGAACAGATTCATGAGGCAGAAGACTTTCAGTGACTACTAGCCTTGCTGGCTATGTGCTAGCCCCTTTACTAGAGGTAGTATGCCTGGATGCACCTCTTGCTGAGGAGCTTGGGCAGGAGATGGTTTTGCACCCATCCTGTTTAATCCCATGGGCAACCGGTTTGCCACCGTGCGTACGGAACGCTGAACTAGATGGACATTTGGTCTGATCCGGAATTGCTTTCCTCATATTCTTAATAATGAAACAGTTGGATGAACAGGATGAATGGGGAGAAGATTTCAGATTTGCTATAAAATTTCAGACAAAGTTAAATAAAGTATGTTCCTCCTCTGTTGTTATACTCCTATCTGACATATGGGTTTCTTATATTGACTGAAAAGACTTGTGGTTTTACAGACTTGCTGCAGCCAGAGTTCTGATGTTGCTCCAGCCACAGCAGCTGACTTGGACTATAAGCAATGTAACAAATGCAAGAGAACAAAGCACACCAAATCCCTTTTCACAGCCCTTAAAAAGGAAAATGTTATCAGAATGCAATACTAGGAAAGTGATTCTGTGGCTCCTAGACAGCATCTAGGGGGCCATAGGATACTTCAGATTCTCAGATTCAAAACTGGAAACAGAGTTCCAGCTTTATCACTGAGAATCCACATTCCAATCCTCCTGTTCTACTTTTGTAGACAGTGCAGAAAGAACTATGCTGCCTGTTTCTCCGTTAGAAAATTGACCTTGGAGATGGAGTAAAGGGGGTGGTTTGTAAGATTGGGAGGGGAGGAGATTGGGGCCACAAGGATACAGTGTGCCCCAACTTCAGAGAGAGAAAGCAGCTGTCTAGTTGAATTGCAGAACATGAGGTGTGGGGAGGCAAGTATAGGTTTTGCTATCCTATCACCAGTTGCTTTGCAAGAGGAGGTCTTGCACCCATCCTGCTTGAGGGATCCTGTGAGCAGCTAGTTTGTCCCTGTGTGTATGGAGTGCTGGACAAGATGGACCTCTCATCTGATCCAGCATGGTTTTTCTTATGTTCTTAGTATCTGCTTTTGGTGTTAATACCAGTTTCCTTCCCAGAAAGATAATAGTTTTGGGATGGGAGATCCCAAACTACTTTCACTGGAGTAAAGCCTTACACCCCCACCTCCCTACATGTGTGTAGAAGTAAAAATCTAGATCCAGTTCCTTCACATACATCTTTCATCATAGTATGCTATATACCCTGAAATGTATTAGTAGTATGATATTTCTGCATGTTTTGATCTTGTGCCAATAATAACACACTTCATCTTCAGTAGCTGATAATGCTGCAGATGTGACATTTCTGCCCATTGTTAAGGAATCAGGAATGGGCCACATGATTGTGTGCTGTCTCACTTCAGTTCCCTTCTTGAGCATAAATTTCACCTCCCTCTACAATTCCTTATTATAGAAGTACTTATGTTAACAATAATAAAGTCTAATCAAGTTTGCTTCAAACAAAGTTTTGAATGCAGAATATAAATCCTAGGCTAGAGACAAACTCTGAATGGCATTAGTAATGTTTAATATTGTAATAGTTATGACACAGAACAATTGTGGCAAGGAAACATGCACTTTGGGGGAATTGCCACTTGATCCTATGGCCCATTTGCTAAGGGTTGACAAAGAGAAATATTACGTTTGCAACCGTTCTGGAATAGATGAAGGAAATAACCTTGTTGCAAGAGAATTAATCATGAGCCTTTCAGATTTTTTTCATGTAGCTGGTGTCTTCCAGTCTGGCTTTCCTGTTGCCTGATATTCATTTGGAGTACAAGATAAACTTGTATCTTTTTAGCTCTGCTTGTTAGTTATGTAAGAACCTTTCAGATTAATGTTATTACATAAGCTTATATCTGTCTTGGCAAAATAATTCCGTAAGTTGTAAAACTTAATTCAGATAAAGCTAGTTTATAGTTTAGACAGAAAGAAATGAAGTGTAAGAAAGTCAGTAGGACAGCTGTTTGATCATTGGTACACTACTATATCTCATGCAGTGCTGGATCTTGTCTTAGATTGCTGAAAAAATAGTCCCGTTGTTCAGTAGGATGAGTTGCAGCAAGTATTGATGTTGCATGCTATCTTCTTGCCTTGTTCTCTCTTTTTTGTACAAGGGAGGCATTTGAGCAGCTTCTGATTCTAAGTAATGTCAATTCATAGTTCCTGTTTCCTCCAAATGCACTGAAATGTGGTTCGTACAAATTATAGTTTACTGCATTCATATGAAAAAGCAAAATATGGTTTTCCTGCAAATTAGAAACAGATGCTTCTCATCTCTGCCTGTCATGTGTAATGGAGAAGGTTAAGGAGAAAGAATCTGCATGACCTTGGGATTTGTTGTGGTTTGTTCACAGCTGGAAGATCATTAGACTTGAGGCACTAGTTCATGAGCGCTTTCCCTGAATTCTTATAATAAAGAATTGTTATAATAAAATAAACTTCATTTCTTTTAAAACCTCTAGTTCCATGATTTTGCTGAGAGGAAAGATTGGGATGCCTTTCATCCTACACTGGTGGCAGAGGGTCTGTTTGCTTTTGCTAATGTTCTCAGTTATCTTCGGCTTTTCTTCATGTATACCACAAGCTCTGTCCTGGGACCACTTCAGGTAAGTTGTCATATGGACAAAATGGCTAGATCTACATTCTGCATCTCATAAGTTATATCAGATATATATCCTGCTTATCCATAGTTGTATTCATAAAGTTGTTCTTTATGTGGTTAGGTTTTGGCTTGGCTATGTGGGCTTGCTGAGTCTACCCAAGTAAGGGATGGCTGTTTCATTAGACTCACAACTATAGAAACAAAACACAGATGAAATTGTACAAGCAGTATAGGTTTCCTGAAAGGATTTTGCTTTATGCACAGTTAAAGCTGCTTGAGAGAAAGGCTTTAGCAGCACATCCTATTTATAGAGCCAGATATTATGAGAACTTAGTGGCCTCATTCAAAATGTATTTCGCTGTGTGAAATGTAGAATGGTGCCAATATATGTGTTAGATATAACTCAAAGATAAATATTGATGGTGTACTATAAATAAATTAGGCCTCTGCCTCATTATAACTAAAGGGTGAGATATTTAAGCAAAAGGAAGGAAGGAAGAGGAGGAGAAAGAAAAAAATCTAGTTACCGATGAAACACTTTGGGAGGGGGCATTCCGACTGTTACTTATATACTTTCTAATTACCAGCTCTTAATCATATTTTCTATTGAAAATTCATTATAAATAACTTAAGGGAGGTAAAACACATGGGCTGTTAAACATTTCATTTCATTTGAAGAGGTTCACTGTGTAACATACATACTTATTTATATTTTTCAGCTATGACATCCATTTTTATTAATCTCTCCTATGTAGTGACATCAGCATTCCAGGTACATCTAAACAGTCAACAATTACCCTATTCAGTGACACACAAAATCTAGTTACTGAAGCTTTAGTTGTTCCTGTTGACAAACATAGATTAAGCAGTAACCTACATACTATTTTGTAAAAGTAGGTCATAAAATGCACCCCATCAATGAAATGAAAGGTATTCACAGTCATATTTCGATAGATACATCCAGAGTATTGAATCATCTTATTTTATTTATTTATTTAATTTAATTTTAAGTCTCTGAAAAGCTATTCATTCATTGTGATTTTTTAGATTTGTTGCAAACCTCCTTGCAGATCAACTTGTACAAAAAGTGGAATAGAACTATCTTACATATGTAAATACAACTAACAACAGAGAAGTTTCCTTTTATGCAATATTTAATATGAAGCATATACAACCCATCATAGATGTAAGCTATTAACCCATTGTTGGTGTAATTTTGAATATTGAAAATATCTCAGCTGCAATTAATTTTAATAGGGCTGGGATTGTCAACCTATGAACTGTTTGAAAAGAGCAAGAAATATCTGGTATCCCAATTATTGTGCAATACTCCAAAGAAAATGCTATACTCCATTCTATTACTTTCTAGGTTGTTTCACAGAAGCTACAGATACCAAACTTAAAATGTACTCTTATTCTTGCTTGTAGCCCAGTGCCATGCATATTTACTGAGAAATGAGAGTTTTCAGGCTGCAATCTTATAGAGAAAATTCAAAGAACACAAGGACACTTAGGAGTAAACATCCATTGGTTTGTAAAGAGATTTTAAAATGTATGTTATTTTGACCTAGGATTTGCTTCATCTTCAGTCATGAAATTTTAGAGGGTTATGTAATAACTCTACATGCTATAATTAATTGTTGTTTTACTTACATTTTACTTGCATTTATTTAGGATGCAGTTTGTTTTTGATCAAAGACAAATTATTACGATAAAGCAACATACATGTTTGACAATAAACATGAATTATTTTACTTTAACAGTCACATCTAACAGTATTCAATAAGATAGTTTTACTTTTTAGTGTTGGAGAATTTAGCTGGGACCATTGGCTTGTCTCATAATAGTTTTTCTAGCATAACTTTTCAGTAAGCATATTTCATAACTATTTAAAATTAATAACAATAATTCTTTTCTACAGATTTCAATGGGACAGATGTTGCAAGACTTTGGAAAATTTCTTGGAATGTTCCTTCTTGTGTTGTTCTCATTCACAATTGGGTTGACCCAACTATACGATAAAGGATTCACTGTAAATGAAGAGAAAGACTGTGCTGGAATCTTCTGTGAGCAGCAAAGCAATGACACATTCCACTCGTAAGTTTCAGAGTGTTGAGTGAGATGACAGTAAAAAAGGAGCTATTTTGTTTTCTAATATAGTTTTTACTGTAGCATTTATTTATTATTTTTTCACTTTCCAGTTTCATCACCACTGCAGCTCTTACATTAAGTGAACAGAACAGTACTGTTTCATTTAAGATAATTACATTTACAGAAATATTCAGTCTTTGGCTTTTCACAGTGCAATTCGACTATGGCTTCTAGCTCAAAAATTCCCTTAATAGATGAGGCCATTTGTCCAACTACATTGCAAATTGAGATGTTAGAATGAAAGAGTCAGCATCCCAGCTCGTCCCTGGATTGTTGTGTGATTCCCTAGGCCTGTAGTTTATAGTGTTCTGTCACATTGCTGGAAACTTTCTTTTTAAATGAGCTAGCACCCTGACAATAAAATAACCTGTCCCATATCATATGATCCTTGTTGGAAGAGTAACAGGTTGAAAAGGTCTTTCATCAATGCATTATCCACTGTAATGTAAAGTAGTTTGGACTGTAGAACACTGTTCTAGCACTTAGATGTTGTTGGATAACAATTAGTTAACATAAGTAATGCATTTAACCTAGGTTAACAGCCAGTTCAGAACAATAACTATGATGCATTGCTTTGTGCTGTACTGTTCTGGCATATTTAAAATGCCTCACATACATTATCTCAGTAATTCTTACAATACTGCTGTAAAGTAGGCTAGTGTTACCGACATATTCTAGATCTAGATAATCCTTAGAAATTGTGCCAGTCCATATAAAATTTAAGGTGCATAGTCATTGTACTAGCTTTCTTTGAGACACTGAATCTCAATTTCTTTACCTACCATTTGCTATTTTCTTCCTTAATTCTGTAATTATTGAATGCAATCCTGAGAGATATCTTGAATCATATTAGCTTCTCATTGATGGTTTTATATTAACGTGATTCTTGCATTTTACACCCCCTTGGATCATGCTTTTAGCATGTTGTCCATACTCCAGTTTATTGTAATAAATTTGAATAGCACCAGATGTGCTGGCATTATTAACCTGAGAAATAATAAATGATTGCTCTTGACCCATTACAAGCGAACTGCTTTAAAAAGGATGTTCAGTTTTTTGAAGATACATCAGTAGTAGGAATGGATGCCATGTTATTTTTCTATATGTTAATTCATAAATCTGAGTTTACCTCCTTAATCTGTGAATTTAAAGTTTGTATTTACATATGCAAGTTTTTTCCTCAAAATATGCATTTTAAAACATATTCTGCTTTTTTTTTTTAACTGAGAACCACATCTGAACATTTGAAGAATGTGAAAGCCAGTAGGGCTGACTAAATTCTGATCCAAACAGCCTTAACCAGCATGCAAGTATTTGAGTGACCACAGTAAAGTACATTAGGAGTTTTCACATTAAGCCTTGTGTACATCCTCCCTCTTTACTCCTTCTTTCATTGGACCATTATATAACTATAGTATCCAGACAGTCAAGTGAATTAAAAGGGTATGGTTATACCTTAAAACCTCAAGTGGGTTTTCAAAAGAGTAATATGAATACCAGATAGCATTTTTTTCTTTATTAAAGAAGAATGTATATATTAGTTTGGTCCTGACTGCTTGCCAGCTACTTTTTCTTGCATGTCTTCATTATTTATCTAACAGCAACTTTTTTCCATCCCTTTTCTCAGGTTTATTGGAACTTGTTTTGCTCTGTTCTGGTACATATTCTCTCTTGCACATGTAGCCATATTTGTCACCAGATTTAGTTATGGTGAAGAACTGCAGTCATTTGTGGGTGCAGTTATTGTTGGCACCTATAATGTAGTTGTCGTGATTGTGCTTACCAAGCTCTTAGTGGCAATGCTTCATAAAAGCTTTCAACTGATAGCAGTAAGTATTTTTATTGTATAAAATGCATTTAAGTATAAAGTGTGCTCTTGCTTCTGTATAGTGCAGTCCTTACTCTGAATGACTTGATTTGAGATCCAGTACCCCTGGACTGATGTGAACGACAATTACAATTTTCAATGAGTATATTAGCAATCATATTCATATGTCAGTCTTGTCACTCATCAACCTTATTTTAATCATTTAAACTAGCAATAGTACAAATTCAGAACTGGAGTCTCCCTGCCATTGTGTAGTTTGGATTTTGTTTTTAATGAGTGTTCTGCCATCCCTCCATGCCTCTTTTTCATCTGTACTTTTCTGCCTGCAGAGTTGGGAGCAGAGGGAGGGTGGGCTGGACGGTGACAGGAGAGTCTTTATAGGCTTCATACATGAGTCTTGGGGAACATCTTTTCTTCCCAGGGTGTGTGGGAGTTGTAGTTCATCATTAAATATACCTTTGTATAATCATGGTTTAATAGAGCATCTGCTATTTTGTTATTTTCAATAATTTAGAATCATGAAGATAAAGAATGGAAATTTGCTCGTGCAAAACTCTGGCTTAGCTATTTTGATGACAAATGCACACTACCTCCACCTTTTAATATCATTCCCTCTCCCAAGACTATCTGCTATCTATTTAACAGTCTCAGTAAGTGGATTTGTTCTCATACATCAACTGGTAAAGTCAAACGACAGAATAGCTTAAAGGTAAGAAATCAGCAAACTGAAGGTGTTGTGAATTTCCCCCATAGTTATAAGACACTTAAATGAACTGTTACCAAAATAACCCTTCATAATGTTTGTTCTTGTATTTGTATTTAAGTTTTGTATACATTAATTTGTGTTTACTCAATATTGCTTTTTAATTTTGACTGTTTCTGAATTATTTTGGATTATACTTATTTTTTTTTAAACATATACTACTGTCTGAACCTCAGTGAAGAATGGCGGTATAAAAATATTTAATACTAACAAAAATGTATTTGTCTTAGCGGTCCCAGAAAACCCTTAATACCTCTATACAGCAAATGTTTGAATTTTTTAAATTTAAAAATATTCTCAAATATAGGATGATATCCTACTGTGTCATTCTATTAAGGCAAAGGACATTGCACTAGCAGAAAGAAGGTTCTGACTATGCTCACAAGGAGAATTCAATTAAGGTTACATTTGTGCTTGTGCAATCTATTGTACAACAAGTGGTGTATCGTGTTTGTGCAACCTGTTATGCTAATGATTGCTCATTATGTTTGTATGCAAGTAGAAAGGCCCTAGTCCTTACCAATGATGTAGTGGTACATTTTGAAGTATAGGCGCTCATCATGAGTTTGTGTGTATTTCTGTGCTCCAATTCATAAAGGACCTTTTTAAATGTAAGATATACTGTTAATTCTAAAAATGCAAATTTGCTACTTTCCAAAATCATAGTATAACTTTAAACCAGGGGTCTCAAACTCAACGTACCTGGGGGCCGCTGGAAGTAGAGCCTGGGTGAGGCTGGGCCGCACCAAGTATTCCACCCCCGCAGTGGTGGTGGGCCGCTCATCCCGCGGCCGGCCCGGGTGCCGCCAGTGCTTTGAAGGCCGCAGGGCCCCTCCCCCGTGCCCCGCCCGTTCCGGCAATTGGCCCATGGGCCGCGAGTTTGAGACCCCTGCTTTAAACTTTCCTGTGATACATCAAAACAAAATACACAAAGGAAACCTTGAAGGGTATTCTTTCATAACTGTTTGAATAAACATATTTGGAAGAAATCAGAGTGGAAAAGAAACAATATGTGTCTGTTTCCATTCATTCTTTTCTTTGCCACCTAGTGATGCTCTGTAGGGTTTTCCCTACATGTTGGCTCCAAAGACATCTTGGAGCCTTCTCAAGCCTGCAGTAATGTATTTGCTTGGCACTTCTGGGACCATTTTATGATAGCCAAGGAAACAGGTGAAATAACCAGAACACAGCCTAGTTAAATTTCTTTGGATGAGTTCCAGTTAGTGCAGCTCAAGGATGTTGACAAGGTGCTTGGACAGGTTTGTGCAACTGTGTTTGTATTAGATCCTTGCCCCTTTAAAGCTAGCAGGGAGGAAAATGCTGGCTGGGCCAAGGAGGTGATTAATGCTTCTTTATGAGAAGGAAGTTTTATGTCACATAAAACAGGAAACCCTCTCTGGACCCAGAAGATCTTGATTATTTTAGGCTGGTGACAAACATCCCCTTCCTGGGCAAGGTTCTTAAGCAGAGGGTGGCCAACCAACCAGGTCCAGTGCTCTTGGATGAGACTGATTATATGGATCCATTTCAGTCAGAGTTCATGCCTCATTTAGACATGGAAACAGCTTTGTCTACCCTGTATGATGACCTATGCTGAGAGAGAGTGAGATGGGAGTGCAACCCTGTTGGTACTCCTGGACCTAAGAGAACAGCTTTCAGTATCATTAACTATTGTATCCTTCTAGGGTGACTGAGTTGGGAGTAGGGGGCTCTTCATTGCAGTGGTTTGCTCCTACTTGTATGGGTGGCTCCAGAAGGTGGTACTTGGAGGACATTGCTTTGTCCCTTGGACTCTTCCTCAGAGGCTGGTCTTGTTCCTCATTCTACTCAACATCTATATGAAATTGCTGAGTGGAGTCATCCAGAGTTTGAAATGAGATGTTATCAGTATTCTGATAACACACAGCTCTATGTCTCCTTTTCTCCTTCTCATCTTTCAGCTGAGACTTTCAGTGTGTTCAACTGATGTATGGCTGTGACAATAGACTGGCAAACTAACTGAAACTTAATCCAGACAAGATTGAGATGCTGTTAGTGGGCACTTCCTCTGACTGGATGGAGGGAATTCAACCTGTTCTAGATTGGGTTACACTCCCCTTGAAGGAGCAGGTTTATAGTCTGGCTGAGCTCCTTCATGAGCCTTCTTTGTAACTTGAGGCCGAGTTGGCTTCAGTGACTATGAGTGCTTTCTACCAGCTTTGGCTGGTGGCTCAGTAATCTATGCACTAGATTACTGCCATGCACTCTGTGCGAGGCTGCCCTTGAAGACTGTTCAGATGCTGCCTCCCCCACTCACACTCTGTTGTGTAATTTACTCATAAATAGACATATAGTCTAGTGTTGTCAAGTGTATAGTAGAACATTTAATTTCAATTCATATGTGCATGATATCTGAAGAATGCAGACTGCTTGTAGACATTATTTATTTATTGTTGAATTTTTATGCAGGATATTATTAAGGAATTAGGTAGAAGACATTCTAGAAACATGCACAACCATTTTATAGTTGTGCTTGGTCATACAGTCAAGAAAAAAATTCATGACAGAGAACTTAGAAAAGCAAGTGATACTGGAGGCAGTTACACTTTATACAAAGAATAAGCCATTCAGAAACCATTTACCTCGCTTGACTGAGTAAATCATTTAATCTGTGGCAGAGCTGTTTGAGTTCAACAATCCTAAAAAGCCATCCTAGAACAGAGAGAATGGCAGATGCAGAAAGACAAGAAAAGAGTCACCTCACACATGCTGAGGCAGAGCAATTAGGATGGGAACTCAGCACTGGCTGTTTATTGTTGCCTACATTTTCACTGAGACACCTATATGTAGGGTAACTATTTACTTGTGCTGCCATAGCACTCACAGGTGATGTAAGCAAATTTGCAGTGGGAGCTGGAGAGGCATTATGAACACACCCTCTAGCATCACTTCCTGCCTAGCAGGCAGGAATGTATTCAAAGCATACATATGCACAATAAAAAGTTGTTGATGGGTGTAAACTGGTGATATATATTTTTTGCCTTTTTAGAGACAACCCTCATTTAGCATCCAGTCTATATACCACAGAACTGCTCAAATCAGTCAAGAGTTCCCAGTTGGAAACTCTTAAAGCATTGCAGTTTATTGTTGTGCTGCACTTGCTTCCAGTCAAATCAAATATTCCATGGTACACTTAGTTTATTCATTGAACATGTGAAGGCCTTTTCAGGTGGATAGCCTGCAGTGTTGCTGGAAGGGAATTTCTTGTGGAGGTGTAGACATTTAAAGGAACAAACATAGTGTGGGTGGGTGATTTGTAGCTAAGGAAGGGAAAGCTCTTGAAGCTGAGAACAATCTTTGCTCGAGTACAGAAACATGTGCACAAATCCATCTATAATTAAATGCTTGTAATTTCCATACAGCAATTAAGTACATTTTAAATATATCTTGTTAAATTAATGGTCTTAAAATTAACTTTGGCTAGAACATGCCCTAAGGCCATTTTACAATGATTAACAAGCTTTTTAGCCCTTTAAAGCCCTTAATACCCATCTGTACATCATATCTAATATGACACTGTTTATTTTAAGGAGTGGAGAAATCTGAAGCAGAAGAGGGATGAGAATTACCAAAAGGTGATGTGTTGCTTAGTTCATCGTTACTTGACTTCCATGAGACAGAGAATGCAAAGTACTGATCAAGCTACTGTAGAAAACCTTAATGAACTACGGCAAGACTTATCAAAATTCCGAAATGAAATGAGAGACTTGCTTGGATTCCGGACTTCAAAATATGCTATATTTTATCAAAGAAACTAGGTTTTGAAATAAAATGCTTTAACCCTTCATTTGAATATTTTTGTTATTAACCCAAATAAAATTTCTTACTTGTAAATTTTAAAAATATGATTGCATGAGCTGCAGGCAAATTCAGTTGTGAAATAATGATTATTGTTTTCATATATTTTTGAAGCTTTTGTGATATTATACAGGATGTACATAGTCTGCCAAGAGCAAATATTCTGCCATATGTGGTGTCAGACAAGTCTAATTAACAATTAGACATCTGAATGCAGTAGCAAATGATTTGTTACTACCTTCTTGCATTGTTGATGATTCAATATCTTTCCCCCTTTTCCAAAACATAGGTAGGGTGGCCACACAAACAGGTCTTTAAAAGCTTAAAGAGTTCCCTCTTCTTTCTAGTAGAAGTATAAGCACCAAAAATATATTGGAATACTTGAAAGGGTCACATCTGAGGGAAAGCCGTCAATAATGTTCTTATAATACAGTTTTTAAAGGACTATATTGGATTATACCAGCACAAAATTTGAGAAGCCATATTGCTGTAACAATAGTATCTGACATTGTTTGTACTCAGTCCCACATAATAATATCAGCATTTGGAACTGACTTGTGAACACATTTGTATATAAAAATGATTAGCTAAAAACAGTAATAAAAATCTGATACCAGCTGAGCCCATATCCTTTGGACCCATTTAAATCCATTTGTTTTCAAGTGAATACTAGACATTTTAACATTATTCCTATTATATCATTATTTTAATTTGCTAAAAATAAACCCCACACATATTTCAGTGGAATTTAGTGTTTCCTAGATTATAACATTAACTATTATGAAGAGTTACTCTTTGTTATAAGAATGTTAATGAAATATAAGAAATAATGGTTTGCCATCATGTTGAATTTTTCTTGAAATGGGAATCGTTTATTAGTATGTATACAAAAGAGCAGATTGATCACAGCCACAAGGTATTTGCGATTATTAAGTTTAAATCAGTTGGTCAAGTTTGATGCAATGACTTAGCCCCCTTGATCACTATTTTCATTGACACCTATCAGACTGTAGTTGTACTGAAGACTTTGGATTCAGGGATGATAATTTATGAAAACAACAGTTTTCCTCTTATACTTCCTATTTTGAATTCTTCGCATTGATATCTTAATGCACATACATATGTCAAGTGTAGTATTTATTTATATAATAAATGTTGTAATTATCTGCAATTTACTTCTATTTGAAGAATGGAAAGGGGAGATATACAGAATTCTTATTCTAAATTCATCTGTATGCTTCTGTATTCTTCTGACTGAAAAATCTCGAGTGTATTATGTGTGAGCCTTTATTTTTAACTGTGACATCATGGGTACAACCTGTACCCAATTCAGATATAATGCTGCCTGATAATACAATGTCTGATGCAGACATCATCTTTTGTGATCCCTTAAAAGGTTGGGGTTGACCTTCATCCTATGCCATGGTTAAGACTGAAAAGGGGAAGGGTGAATTTACATGATTTTTCGATCCCTTAAACATGGTTAAGAGATCAAGAAATGCTATGGCTGTACAATACACTGTTGTGATACTGGGGTTTGCTACACAAGGTATTTATTGAGTGCTCATGATTCCTCCCTCATGGAAGTCTGTAGGGCCTTTTCATGACACTGTTATCCTCTGCAGCCTTTGTCAAGTTTTGCAGCTTTTTAGAGCAAGGACAGTGTGGTATTTTCATAAATGCTGTAGTATTTGCTACAGAAACATAGTGTAATTTGGAAATTTCTACATGTATCACTGTACTACACAGAAAGGGGAAGAGGAAAACCCTCTGGGGGAAACCTTGTGTGAAAATGCTCTAATCTTCCCACAGAGAGAATGAAGCTGACTTTGTAAAGCAGAGGTTGCATGCCTTATGTAGACTTGTTTTGTGTCATAAGGTATATCTTGTAAGCTAAAAACAGCAGAAGAAAAGTAGTTCTTTGGGGTTGGAGTGGGGAAGGCTAAAATAAAACATAAGGACTAATGTAATAATTCATTCAGACACCTATTACTTTGGTTACATATGTATCACCTGGAGCTGTGTAGTCTGCAGATTTTCATTGTAATGCAAAAACAAAAATTAGTATGTTTGTGGTACTAATTTTATCTTATTTTTCTGCCTCATTTTGTTCCATGCAGTCAGAATATCCAATGAGCTTCCGTTTTTAAAATTCGTGTAAGAATAAATGTCAAGTTTTGAAATTTCCAAACTGTCCCCTGAACAACTTGAAGTGGTCTGTCAAGAGTGTTTTTCTGTGTTCTTTTGTAACAAGTTCAAACAGTAGTTGCAAATCATGGGTTCTGAATCCATTAGCCTTAATAATCTATTTTCTTATAATTTTGCCACAAGGACACAAAAATGAAACAAATAGCTCAAAACAAGAGAAAGAACTCAGTAGGAAGGCTTATTGCTGCAGGATTTCTTTATACAGAACACAGAATCCAGTAAGACACAACAGCAATTGATAGCTTTCTCCTAATGAGCCAGCTGGTGGCTTTGGGCAGGCTTATCCTGCCCAACATCTAGTCTGGATTAGTTGTACTGGTTAGATCTAGTTTTCTTTCAGAGTACATTCATTTTGTAGTATTTTTCCGTCAGTGCTTCTGTAAGTGATTAATTTTAAACAGTTGTTTCATGTTCTAATTCTTAGGGTCAGAAATATTTCATTTTCATCTTACTTTTAGTCAAGCATCTCTGGACAAAATTAATTTTATTTTATTCTCAGCAACTTAATGAAGTGTGATATTGACTTTTTTCAAGGGTCTTTTCCAAGTGTAGTCAAATCTAGTATTTTCATACCCAGTGCCAACACTCTAGCTACTGTATTCAATGATTCAACAACATTCTTACTTACAAATGAGAAATGTAAAATGAAGACATGGTAACATTTAATTTTTATTATTTCAGCCTGTCTCAAGGGCCAGTAAAACTGTCAAATTGTAAAATCAGTTAAGTCAACAATCATTGCTAGGTTTGCTAAGGCACAATATAATACCTACTGAAACAAAGTGTCTCTTCTGGACATTGTTCAACATGGGAAGCCTCTTTATTATCTTTCCTCATGGCAACTTTGAGGACATAGCTATGACTCAGTTTGCATGTAATGGTGGTAAACTATGGAGAGAGACACCAGTTGCTGGATTGCATGCCAGCTGCTTTTACTTTCTATAATCCATCTCTGATCATAGATTATTGCCCAATGTGTGAAACTGGACACTATAACCAGATTCATGACACAACAACCCACTTGTGGATGACCAGGTATGGTGGGTTATTCTGTTGCCTACCTAGACTGCTTTCCACAGCGTGAATTCTTTTTAGGCATAAAGCCACCCTAACAATCCTTGGCTTGCTTTAAGGTATATTCAATCTGTGATGGGTTACCAAGTTGTCCAAACCTGAGAGAACTATTTTTTGTTTACTAGATTAATAGCAATGACCCACCCCTGCTACTCTTTGCAATTTCACCTGTGCCATCACAGGTGTCCTTCATAGCTGTCCAAGCAGCATTTTGGAACAACTGTAACTGGTCAACTGCCTGTAAAAAAACCCCAGTAATTCAAACCCAGAAATGAGTGCAACAGTGGATGCTTTAATAATATAATTTCTGTTGGTTATTTGCAAATGTTTAGTCTTACCTGGTCTATTTCCTTGTCTGTTTCAGCTGTCAAAGGGAGTGGCAAAGTGCAATAGAAAAAAAAAGACTGCATAGTGACACTGTGTACAGGCAAATTTGTAGTTTTCAAGAACCAATTTCCTTGCTTCCAGTTGAAAAGCAGTTTGAAGGGTAAAAACATCAAAAGCAAATACACCAAAAGGGGGAGGAAGAAGAAAGTGCTCTTCTTTGTTAATCTCACTTTAAGGATTTAACTAATAGTTTTTGTGTCTTCTGCCTTTTCAACGTATTTGTGAGACTACAGCTACTCTAGAAATGGAGATACTAAGTCCACATCTCTTTTGGGGGCTTTTTTTCCCCCTGAGTATTTATTGAAGTTTACAAACGGTTCTAAAAGACTCCTCAGGTGACAGAGGATGGAATGAATTAAGACCCTATTGAGGGTATAATTACTGTTGATGCCTTGTTTGTTCTGTCCTGCTGCTTCTGTCATTATACTCGTGCAGCTTTTTTGGACTGGAAAAATACACATACTTGGTGACTGGGAAGTAAATGGACTGCATCATTACTGCAGATGCATGCAGATTTCCTATTTCTCCCCTCTATACATTCATGTTTATTTCTGCAGGTTTTTAAAAGAATGGACAGTGAACTACAGTAACTATAGCAGTATATGTTCTGAAATATGACCCCTGAAAAGGAAGATGTGAACAAACGATCAGCTGTTTCAAATGCCGTATCAACTGTTTCATGACCCCACATTGCATAATTTATTCATTAGATGGCTTGGTGTGATGTGGAAAATTAGTCATTTGGACCATGGGTCATTTGTGGATTAAATAACCCAAAGTTAGCCTGTGGTTAGGTTAACCTTTTCAATTCATTAATAAGTTATCCATGATTTGCTAGTGTTAAGTGCAAACTGGGCCTTTGACCAGAGAGCATTAAAATTCCAGCCTGACCACAATCTGAAATATATTTACAAACTTCATTAAATTAGAATTCTCTATGAATTGAATATTGTTAGCTCTAAACCAGAAATGATATGCAGAGATAGTTGAGGTTCTCTGACTCTTAATGCCTATTTATGTTTTGCTAATTAAGAATTATGTACATCATGAACTTTAAAAAGTTTTTATTACATGTAGATAATAAAATTTAACAAGAAAGCTGTTAAAATGTTTTAATATAAATATTGCACTTGTATCACCTCATCTGTCATTTTAAAAAATTCTCCTAAGTATAAATTAAGAACTTCTGTTTAGTAGACATTTGGGGTTAGAGTCAGATTTATGTGTGTGTGACTCGGTTGGCAGAAGTTGATCCTCATCTCCCCATGGCAACACCTACGTCCTCTGGAAATTCTACATAGGGAAGGTCCTATTGAACAGGGCAAACTATGGTACAAGGCATTTCCCAAAAGTGGGCAAAGGCCTTCCATGAAAGGAGTCCTTCCATCAATGGGACATACCCTAGATCCAGCCCTATGTATGTTTCAGGCTGGCTGGTGCGATGGAAAGTTTGGAAATATGACATTCAAAGTTATTTTTCTTTTAATATTTGCAACATCAGTCAATAGGCGTTACAGTGAAAAAATCTAGAAAGTATACCACCTGCTCAGAAAGGACAATTTCTTCAACTTGTTTGTGTAAAGAAATTCTAGAGGAAAGATGATGGGGCAAAGCTACAAAAATAAAAATTTATAAATCACATTTCAACATTGCTTGTTTTTCAAGACATTCAGGATCTTTTGGTTCTTAGTCTTGAAAGTCATTGTAAAGCTGCTGGGCAGGATTTTACCCCTGCCATCCTCCTCTACCTGGCCCATGATTACATAATTTAGACCTATTGAGACAGGGGAAGAGACAAAAAATGGTAAAACATTAATTTCTACTTGATCTTGGAAAACACATATTTCTGCAGGATTTCTTTAGCAAGAGTTGAATAAAACTGTGGCTTTAACTGATAAAATGGTACCTCAGTGCTTCCAAGTGTCAGTTTCTGCACACTTGAGATATAATTTAGGCTCCTAGCTGAACATAAGCATTCCGGCATATGGCCTTTGAGCCTGCACAGAGCATATTTCAAGAAGCTTCTATAGAATGAGTGTCCTTCCTCATCCTTCAACAGCATGCTTAAGGGAACATGGCTCCTGCCTTTCTTTCTGCCACACCACAAGCATTGGGAAATACTGAGTCTTTTATTCTTTCTTTTGCTGCTTATTCTATCTTGTGATCATTCTGTTCAATTTGCAACCTGATTGCTTTGTTGTTGTTTTTAAATGAACAGATCACTGATGATTTGAAGAAAGTTGAGGCACAATCCAAATCAGTACTAGCACTAACATAAATTTTATTGCACAGTGTTGTGCTACAGGACATTTGCATGAGTACAGCACAATTTATATTACCATTGTGCTGACATGGATGCTATCCTCAGATATATTTCTATTATACATAGAGGAAATTGTTTTTAGTATTTGTCCAGTGATTATTCAGTTTTTCCTGGCTACTTAACTATCCTGAAACCCATGAAAAGAGTTTTAATTCTATGCTTTACTTAAATGCAAACAGAGTAAGTCCCAATAACCAATCCAAAAGTTGAACAGGTAAATGCAATCCAAGCTTTCCCCTCCGTAACATAGTTCAGATTTAAAGTTGTGTAAATCTGCTAATTTCTTAGATGTCTCAGCCAAGTCTTCAGTGATTTTTAAGTAAGCGGAAGCAGATTAACCCATAATTTTTTCTCTTTTAGTTTACTTGTCTTTTTTATCTACATAAATTGGAATAACTGAAGAGGTTTGAGTTAAAAAAGGCTAGAATCAAACATACAGCTGGTGAATGTCCTCAAGTATTATTAGGGTTTGATGCCATTTGGTAGTTTGCTTTTGTTCTGTAACTATAAACTTTTGACTATTAACTTCTCAGAAAATGGATGTCGTTTGCAAAATCCAGGATTCTATTAGTGTCTACTTACCTCTTCTGATAAGAGGGCACTGTTTACAGACAACAACAATCTTTGTACTCATATTTTTGCCTGCTTGCTGGATTGCTAAATTTCCTTCCTTGTACACATTAATAATTGATATTGTTGCATGTAAGCTTCCACCTCTGATGTTTGTTGTGATAACAGATCCAGTTATTACTAAGAAGAAAGATGCAGAATTAATACATTGAAATACAATGAGTACACAATGAAGTAGAAATATGACCACTTTGCATAGTACAAGCACTACAGCAATCTCAAACTGCCTTTACTAACTCCAAGGTGCGTTGCCCACATCCATTTCCAGTGTGGCTCATGTAGTCCAAGGAAGCCCCAAGAGGAGTCCAAGACAGGTGGGAATTTTTAATGCAGGAAATGTTAAAGACACAATTACAAACAGTTCCAGCAAGAGAAAGGGGTAGAAGACAATAGGAGAAGCCCATATGGCTGAAAGATGATCTGAAAATAAAAAAGTACATGTACAGGAAGTGGAAGGAAGGCAGGCTACAAATGAAGAATACAGGCAGGTAGCACAGAATTTTGGTATCAGGAAGACTAACGTTAGGAATGAATTGAGGCTGGTTGAGGGATGCTAAAAGCGCAAAAAAAAAAAAAAAAAAGGAAAAAACCATGCCTTCTTTAGATGTGTACAAAGTAAAAGGCAGAGAAAAGAAATGGAGGTTAAACTACTTGTTGTGAGTGGCAAAATGCTAATGGATGACAAAGAAAAGGCAAGTGCTCAATTCCTAGTTTGACTCAGTCTTCTCCCAAAAGAAGATCTATGACCTTCCGGATGAAGGGGAAGTACAAGCTAAAGGAGCAGGATGGAAACTATGGATGGCCCAATGGACACCCCAGAGTCATAAAGGAACTGGCAGAAGAACTCTCAGAACCATTGTCTGTTATCGCATGGATGAGAGGTGAACTACCAGATGACTGGAGAAGGGCTGATGTTGTCCTTATCTTCAAGAATGGAAAAAAGAAGGACTTGGGAACTACAGATCAGTCAGTCTGACTGGGAAAATTCTGGAGCAGATTATAAAGCAGTCTATGAACACCATGAAAGCAATGCAATGATTACTAAAAGCTAACATGGATCCTCAAGTACAAATCTGCCTGACATCTGATTTCATTGTTTTGACTGGGTAGCCTCCCTGATGGACGGTAGGAATGCCGTGGATGTAGTGTATCTTGACTTCAGTAAAGCTTTTAACAAAGTGCTCCACAATATCCTTATTAGTAAACTAGCTAAAAGTGGGCTAACTGGAACAATGATCAGGTAGATCCACAGTTGGCTACAAAATCAGACTCAAAGAGTGCCATCTGTGGCACCTTCTCAGACTGGAAGAGGTAACAAGCACCGTACCACAGGGTACAAGCACTAGTTAGGAAAGCCCAACATCTTGCTGGAAGTGTCAAAGATAAGGAGATGCTTTCCCTAATGCTACCAAGAAAAATTGTTTTCTGGGCTTGTGGGACAGGGAGGGTTAAGACTATGTGTCTAGGAAAAGGAGGTAAGTCTGTGCATGTGGAATGTGAAAGTGTGTTTCTAAGTGTTGGCGTACACATGTCTGTTTGTGCATACATGCCTGTGTGTGCATGCCAAGGTTCGGCATCTAGCAACCCAAGAGCATCCTAATCCAGCCCTCAGAGCCAACGGTTTGAACTCAAATGGAGACTTTCTTCCTTTTAAAATTCTATATATCTAACATAACATGAGTTATCTCTAAGTTCTTTCATCAGAGTAACTGTTGTTGCACTGAGACACTACATAAAAAGTACAGACATTTATAATTGAATAGGCAAAGCCAGAATATAGGTCTTTAAACTGCCATAACAAGCAACTTCTGCATTTGAGAGAAATGTCTCCAAGAGGCATTATGAAATTAGAACTGATGGAAGACATACAACAAACTTATCACTGTAAGTAAGAAATACTGGCTGTTCCAAGAAGACAACATGCCAGCATCGTCACTGAATCAACACTTTCATAGAGCAACAGTTCTCCTTCTGTTTGGTCATTTGTGTTTAGACTGGAACACTTTTTTTCTGACACACATTCATACTGTCTTCTCTTCAAAACATCTCAAGGAATATAACTGAGTCACAGACACCAGTATGTAGGTACTATGATCTGAAAGAATTTCCTTGTGCTCTAATGGTAGCTACAAATAAATGCTCTGACCCTTCCCTGAAATTAAACATATATCCCTAAATCACCAGTTTGAAGAAAAAAAAATACTTTGCTACTCTTACCAAAGTTACTTGAACAGTAATTGCTCTCAAGAGTTCCACTCCTTCGGCATTTTTGCTGGCACAGGGCAACTGTCGGCTTCAAGGCTGTTCCAAGATAGAGTTGTGAAGACAGTTTAAGTATTTCAGATGTTGGCTAAAAATGGCTTTCATTTTCTCCCCCATCATACAGAAAGAACTAATATACTCGAAGTAATAACTCAAAGCAGCCCTGACAAAGCACACTTCAAACAAACCAATATTCTATTGACATACTGGTGTGATGTATTCTTGTTAATTTGTCACATTCTGTACAAAGTGTAGCTCTAAAAGAGCCATGCCATGTGTGGCACAGATCAAGCCTCAATTTCATGGAGACCCTTGGGAGTAATCTATGCACTGTAATTAAATGGAGGGAAAAATCCTGACTAATGAAAAGGTGGAATTCCAGAGCCAATGGTGAACATAAGAATGTCTCATGGTTATCATTTGGAACAAAAACAGGGAAGAGCTTGTATAAAAAGGATCCATAGTCTTGCTGGGGTCCCAGAACCTCTGAGCAACCCCATCATAAGACATCTCCCTCTGCTGATTCTGTTTCTGAAAATCTATGCGTGGTATCTTGCATGTAAGACTATGTAGTGTTCACAACATTGTAATATTTCAGGCTATACTGATATCATTCCATTCCTGCAGTCCAGAAGGTCTTGCCACTAATATTAATCCAAGCAAATCTTTTTCCAGTCTTTTAATTACAGTAGGATTATAATAGAGAAGAAAATGGTAACAGAGGTAAAATGATAACACTGAAGCTCTCTCTTCTTCTTCAGTGCTGTTAAAATGAGAACTTCATACTCACTTGTAGTGGCAGGGAGAGTTCTAGCAGTGGTTGGTGATGTGGTTGTGGGTATCCTTTTGGGTCTGAATTTGTAGTGACCGATAAAGCCATCAGCAGTTAAACTTAAATCAGATAAAAACTGAACTAGCAACTCATTCCTCTCAGAAGTAATAGGTCTAAAAGAAAATAATGTACAACCAATAGATTTTGCATCATAGTATAAAACATGCCATATTTGTAAATATTTATAGCAATATTTAAACGGAAGTCTAGGCCACCCTTTGTCAATGTGATTTTTTTTCCATATAGAACATACAGATCCTTGTGACTAAGTATTTACTTGGATGAATGTTCATACTGAAATAAGCTGCACAACTCCTGAAGAAATCTTTCTCCACCCAAATATTTACTTAGACTCTCAGGAGAACAGTAACATTCAAATACGTTGAGAAAACAAGAAGTTCTAAAATGGACCATTGCATAATACACATGCAGTAGCCCACTTATGTCTTAAACTGAATCTACAAAATTAAAAACATTTAATGAAACTTTTTAGATTTATGGATAGATTTCAGATTTAATATAGGATTACTCCAGTTGTAGAACTTCATCAAGCCATGTCTTTATGAATTTGTGTTAGCAATTCAAACAAAACTAGTAACTGAAAATTAAAGAAATCAAGTTAAAAGATACTGGAAACCCCAGTGAAGCCTAAATCCTATCATCCTTGATTTCACAGTGGCTTTGGTCTGGCTTGTGATGTCCCCTTCCCTTTTCTAAAAAAGTGCAGCAAGAATGCATAGTACTGCAGCCATTTGCAGGGTCTTAAGGGTCAGACATAATAGAAAGTGTAGCTTCAATGATTCCTAATGTCTCCCATAGGAACATCAGTGACAATTTAGCATAATTTTTGGCAGAAGAGTCTAGTGATTTCTAGAGAGCCTGTTTAGCATCTTTGTCACTACAGCTCTCAAAAACTCTCGATGAAAAGGACAACAAGTGTAGGTGGCCTCTATATCTAATCATGTATTTGACACCACATTCTGTAAGGATGCAGCTCATTTTGTACTCTGCCAGCTCCTTCTGCTGCATGTGTAGCAGATCCATCCATCCTTCGGCTGATCCATCAGCTGCGTCCCTACCTGGAGAATGATTGCCTGGCGATTGTGACACACACATTGGTAACTTCCCGATTAGATTTCTGTAACGTGCTCTACGTGGGGCTGCACTTGAAGATGGTCCAGATACTTCAATTGGTGCAAAATAGTGCTGCCAGGTTGCTGATGGGGACTGGGCATTGTTCTCATATAACCCCAGTCCTCCGTCAGCTTCACTGGCTCCCCATTGAAGTCCGGGCCCAATTCAAGGTGTTGGTTATCACCTATAAAGCCCTCAACAGCTTGGCACCTGGTTATCTAAAGGAGCGCTTGCGTCCACATATGCCCTCCTGCCCTGAGATCGGCGGGGGAGGCCCTTCTCCGGGAGCCCTCTGTGAAGGATGTTAGGAGGGTGAGTACCCGGAGGAGGGCCTTCTCTGCGGTGGCGCCCCACCTATGGCATGCGCTTCCCAGAGAGATCTGCCTGGCGCGTCATTATTTGCTTTTCGGTGCCAGGCCAAGACCTTTTTATATAAACGATATTTTAATTGTTAACTGTTGTTTTTATTTATTGGTTTTATGATACAGCCGAGATGCTCCAAATTTTTAATGTTTATTCTATGTTTGTTTTATCCTGCTTTGTAAGCTGCCCTGAGGCTTTCTGTGATGGGGGTGGCATAAAAAATGTTATAAATAAATAAATAAATAAATAAAGTGTAGGCCGGAAACTGACAACAGAGAAAGGAAAAACCCAGCTGATCTTCAAACCCATTGAGAGATCTCTTGTTTTCCATAATCCCAGAAATGAACTTTATTTTCAGTTTAACCAACTTGACAGCCAGATGGCACCAGTGTGTAGAAGTAATCATTGCGATTAATCTTAGAAATTAAGTCATTTGTGAAAATTCTGTGCTATGACTTGCAGACAGAGTACACAAGGGTCAGAGAATGTGCAAAATGTAGAGATAAGTGCTTTCTCTATGGCCTGCTGAACATTAGACATACTGTCAGCAGAATGTGTGCAATTCTATCTTCATCAACAGATTATATGCACATTTTCCATAAAGTGTTGTAGATGTACACAATGGCTAGTTTTTATGTACATTACTCCTAGAATATGCAAAGAGAAGCATTGCACCTTGTTTTTCTTTCCTTTTTATTAACATTGTTTTAAATGATCATGCTGAATGGATATGATTTTTTGTTATGCATGTTAGTTTTTATCCCGTTATAATTGCAATTTGTTAAAATATAACAGCAGGTGCTTCTCTGGTATTCCCGCTTATGTGTGTGAAAAAAAATGTGATTTCTAAGACAGTGCAAGCCATCTTTATTTTTATAAGTACTTTTATTAAAAATACAGGCAGTCCCCTGAGTTATGGAAAATCATCATCACCATAGAGTGAGAGAGAGCGTGAGGGGAGAGAGGGGGTCCTCCAAAGCATGCCTTCCTGCCCTGCCCATCCAGAGAGGGAAATCTATTCAGCATTTCCCTGATGCAAAGAGGAGGCAAGGGTGAGGTTGGGCAAGGGGAGGCTGCAAATATTTGTGGTTTTTCCATTTTCATAGGGAATCTGTGCCCCTAACCCCTGTGAATGTGGAGGGTCAACTATATGTGACCCAACTTGCATACAGATTCAACTTTTTCTCAGGAACAGAACTCATTCATAACCCAGGAACTGCCTGTAGCCATATTAATTGATCAATTTTTTTCTAAATGAATGGACTGTCTGGTGGTGCTATATAATAGCTACTAGACGCATTTACCATAGCCATCAAATTTTTGGAGACTCAGCTTTGAGATTGAAAAAACACTCTGACCTTGTAGACTGGTCTCCAAATTTAGAGTGCCTTTACTGTGCAACCCACAGCTGATATGGAAAGAATTGCACCAGCTGCCTTTCTGAGGTTGCAAGTGTGACTTCAAAGATAAGTTTAGGAAGCAGGGAGGAAAGCAGAAGAGTACCAGCAAGATAAGATGTATCCTGGCAGCACTCAGCCTCCTTCCTGCTGCCAAAATCAGCCATCTAGCTGAGTTGCAGGGCAGGAGAAGCACAAAGATGACCTTCACCTCCATGCTCTTTCTGCCCTCAATAGGATGCCTGTATTCCCCCAAGTCTGGAAGGATACAAGCACCCCAATTGGATTGTGCTCTAGCTGTTTCAGCCAAGCCTTTAATGTTCACAAATCTATCTCCTTCCTGATCTTTCCTTATATGCTTTCTTGCCTATAAGGTGTAAACTTGGCATAAGCAAACTGATCAAAAGCAAACTGCAATAACTTCCTCATATAGCCTGAGTACAATCCCACTGTTCCCTGGTGCTCAAATGTCAAGGAAGGCAGACAGGATCTGCCTGGTTACTGGCTTGGGAGGGGAACGGTTCAACTAACATTGGAGAAAATAAGTCACAGCTCGGAGAAAGAGGGTCTTTCACAAGCATTGCTCAGTAAAGGATGCACTACAGGTTGCTAAGTTGACAGACATGCACAGAAAGTGGTGGAGATGAGTGGAGATAATAAGTAAATAAGCACTAAAATGTTCTAGATCTGCATGCAACCCAACCAATGCAATCCAGCCAGCATAGCACAATACAGGTAAAGATGCAAGTTCTCGGATATCTTCTGAATGTATTTTCTTACCTGCTGTCTGTGTAAAATTACTGTGTTATCCAGATTGTCTCTACATTAGAAACTACTACTTTTGTCATTAATTGATTATTATTATTAAACTTCTAGCCCACCCATTAGCTAAAATGACTGTCTTGGCAGGTTATAGAAATGGATAAAAAGTCTCAATTTTTAATTTGCTGGGTTCATGAACTAAAACCCATGAGTGCCAAACAGCAAGAAATGCAAGCAAAGGCCTACTTATGCTATGGACCCAGTTCATTTTCCATACATCATCATGGCACACAACAAGCCTCTCATTTTTTTCCACCTTCCTCACATGGAAGATAAGTACAGTTTTATAGCCAGATTGGGTATTTATCAGTATAACGAAACTATAGTTTGTTATTCAGATTTGAAGCTACAGTTGTTCTACAATTAAGACAAATCAGTTATAAAAGCACAAGAGAATGAATAAGGTGGTGCATAAGGAACAATAACGCCCGTGCATTCCCCCCTCTTTTCAGAAGGTTTTAAAACATAGCTATTTAAGTAAAACTAATACCATTACTTACGCTGGTGGACTGTCTCCACAGTATTTCCCAATTCTCCTAGCATCATTAATCTCGCCACCATTAAACACCGCCACATAGTCATATCTGCAGTAGTTATCTCTCTCCACATCAAATTTTTCAAAGTTTAACTCTATTAGCTGTAGGAAAAGGATTAGAATCTAATGAAAACATTCTATAGTTAATTATTCATATGAATGTTGTTGTTGTTGTTAGTTGCGAAGTCGTGTCCGACCCATTGCGGCCCCATGGACAACATTCCTCCAGGCAATTCATAGGAATATATTTCTTCAAAATTAAAACATTTCATAGTATTTTTCTTTTCCAAACAAGTTTAAACCACCTATCACCAGTTATCCTCTCCGGCCATTATATTTAATCTTCTTCCCAAAACCATTTAAAAAATCCTAAATAATTTTGTGAAGTGCAGTACACACAGCTATTGGCCTTGAAAGAGAACGAGTAAACGAATGAGCATGTCCTTTTCAGAATTCAAATGAATGTGTTCAATACTGCGCAGTAAGCGAAAGCACTAATTGGTTATTTAAAATACCTACAAATTTTAGGCGCAATTCTTTCTCTCCACGGCAAATGTATGCAAGTTGTTGAACCTGCAGGTGTGGCAGTGGCAATTTCTGTTGCTACCACACTTCACACCCTGTATTTTTGGTTATCCAGAATTAGCACCAGAGGAGAAGAGGCAAAGAGGCTGGGGTACCAATGGGAATCAGCAGAAATCTGCAGCCTCAGTTTCCTCCTCTCTTCACTCCTGCATGCTCCTTTTTTTCTCCTCCAAGGCCAGTTGTGACCAATGGGCTGGAGAAGTATAGTTCTTCCATGCCAGATGAAATGGGTGGGGTAGAAGTTTGGCCTTCAAAGTTCCAGCTCCAAGAGTGCAGGATCTTGGAACTGGGACTACACAGAATCCTACGCCCTTCCAGACAATGTCAGGAGGTCCCTTATACCCTTAGTAGTCATAAAGAATATGAAAACAAGATTATTAATAGGAAGCAGTTTGAAAACATTCTACTAAAGGTTCGAGAACACCATTACAAACTATTACCATTTAAACACAACCAAATCATTGAAATAAATATCTGTTTTAATGAATTAGGTGTATATGCCAAAGCAAAATTAAAGCATGGCCAGCAACTTTCCTAGGAATTAATGGCCAGTTCTGAGGGAATGATTCATGATTAGGGTAGGTTTTAGAATACGCTTTGGAATTATTTCCATGGTTGTACAGATAAAAGTAATTTGTCAGAATATATCATTCTTTCCTTGAGCAAGTTCACACAGCTTGACAACCTACCCTGTAAATAAGCTACACATGCCCAACAGATGACTTTTCCACATTTCAGGCAGCTTTAAATGTGTACCTGCTAAAGACCTGACTTTAAAAAAATCCTCATTAAAGGAATAAATAAGGATAATAAAGGATATCTATTGTTTGTTTATTTATTAAATGCCTTTCTATACTCTCCTATCACATAAGTCTCAGGACGGAACAAATAAGGATAAGGGCACCCATTGGTCCTGTTGCTGTATGCTTATGTTTAGACCTTAGAATGAGTAACAAAAGATGAAAATCACAAACCAACTTCAAACAATTGTTTTAGACTGTAGTTTGCTGGCTACAAACCATAGTTATTTGTGCAGGGTGAGTTCAGACATTCAAATAAACCACAATTAAGCTTAATGCAGCTTGGTTTAGCATTATGTCTGATGGGCTCATGGTTACAAACGCAGAGGATACGAAGCAGGCCATATGTGTGCTACCGATGTTTCATCCAATGTAGGGTAGATCAAACAAGTCCTCAATAATTAGTTGTCACTACTAATTCTTATGAGTTGTCTGCATTAGTTTTTTGCAGTATATTGACAGCATGAAAAGAACCATTTTACAGAAGATTCCCTACTTTTAGGGAATTTAGAGGCTATCCCTGTTTGACTTTAACAAGCAGGTGAGTAGCTATTTAGATGCTGGGTGTAAACATATCCTCAAGTCTGGCATTTGCTACTTTAAATTATATGAAATAGATACCCATAACTGGGGTCCAAAGAGCTCTGTATGTGAACAGAAAGTGCTTCAGTGTGCATATTGGAATGAATGCCCATTTTTTCTTCTGGCAGCATTCCCTTGCACTACATCAAATGTTTTTGCAGAAGGTCCCCAAATTTCATGAACAGGAGGGGCATGAGGGCTGCAGCCAGAAGGCTTGCTATGATCCACTTCTGAATATGTTAAAGCATGTGAATCTGATCATATATTATTTTATGTCTTTCCGCATCAGTTGTACTCTTTGCATGTAACATAATAAGAAAAATTAAGAGACAGCATTGCTCATTTATTTTGGGCTGCATTAATATTTTTGCTTCAGTTCAGTAGAGTTATGACACTCCCACATAAAAGCAACCTAAGCTAAATGAAAACTCACTGTGAATTCAAGTACCCTACAATAAGCCATCGGGTGTCAAGATGGTTTGCTGCCCCAAAGCAAGCCACTCTGCAGGCAGCCGGTCAAATTCATGTTACAGGACAACCCACAGTGGCTATTTATCCATGATGGGTTGCCATGTCATGTGAACTTGGTCAGTGTTTAAACTGCAAGCCACACAGAAGATAAACGATAACATAATGGGCTGGTTCAGAAGTAACACTAAAGCATTGCTTAGTGTTATAAGAGCAAACTTAAGCAAGTCAGGTTCTGCCACTCTCTGGTGTAGCCTAAGGAGCAATTATGCAAATTTTGCTCCCATTTTTGATCAGCTACAGTTCTCCACATTGTCTGATCCTAAACAAATGGCCAGTCTTCATCATAATTAGTCAAACAAGCCAACTTCATAATTTATAAACTGCCTTGTTTTTACTACCCATAATTAAGATTAGCCATAGTTTAGTGTGTGAAAAGTACCCTTTGCAACAAAATGTTTAGGCTCGGTGGTGGTGGGGAAATGTAAATGTTGTCCTGGACTGGCTCACTTTCCTAAGGGTGCATAACACAGAGGCATTTAAAAAAAAGAAATAAAAAAAACAAAATCAATGTGCAGCCACTGCTAAACAGCTTGCCAGCGCTCAGGGGACATCTCAGTGCTCTTGCGGTCTCCCCCAAGTTACTGGAGGAGGACTGTGGTGGAGGCAGGGTGGGGGAGAAGGGAAGAGGAGGGAGGAGAAGGCACAGAACCCCTGCTGAGCAGGATCTTTGTCAGGCAGAGAAGCTGAAGTGTTGTGTGAACCCAGCCATTGTCTACATATACCTCTGCCAGAATACAAAAGAGGTCACTTGATTGCTGGTTTGTAAGACACTGTGAATGCCTGTTGGTTTCTGTGCGTATTCATGAAAAGGCAGGGCACTGAAGATAACCAAGGAAGTAGCTGGATTTAGTGCCTGCCTACTGAAGGTAAAGAGAACAAAAAGCCGTCATTATACATTTGGTGACAAGATGAACAGAGCAACACTTTCCCCTGCTTTAATCCGTGGAAAAAATAGTTCAGATAGTTAAGTTCCTTGACTATCTGGCACTATTATCACTGTCTCACATGACACAAAACCTTGCTTGAAGATGAAATACAAAGAAAACAGGGGCAGTACAAATGTACCATAACATGTTCATCTGTAGGCTGTAACCAAGCAACAGAGCTTGCCCACAACAATGCCACAGCATTTAATTACACTTTTCCTAATCTGAATTCTATGTACTCCCTCCACCACCACTGTATTATGGTGGTGCGCTGCAATGTCCCATGATGATTAATTTTTGTTCTTTAAAAAGAAAAATGAAAAGTGAGCAAGAGTGATATCTCTGTGTTAAGGCCACACTCCATCAGTTGGAAGGGTGCAAGTGCTGTGATGCTTAAGAACCAACTTGTGTTTGTCATGCTAAGAATAAAATGCCCTCCATCCCTGCATACACATCGATATACACATACTTTATAATGGCTATAATAGAAAGGCAGAACCCTGAATGGACAATAAATCAGAGCAGGCTATTGAAGTCAACATTTCTGTTGGTTCATTTCACAGTTTGAAGTTATCCACATGAAACAAAAGAGCAATAAAAGTTGTTGGTGAGATAACAAAAGAGCTTGATTCATTGGTAAATATATTTCTTCCCGGGAAGTGTTACTAGAATTAAAAGCCACTAATAAAGACTTATAAAGCAACTTATAGGCAACACTTACTTGAGAATAAGTACCCAAGAGGAGAAAGAACACACTGATGATATGATATAATTCACTGAGAGCTGGAAAAGATTTTCAGGCTCATTTGGAAATAGAAAAGAGCAATCAAGTGCTTTGCAGTTTTTCATGTTCAATTAAATCACTTGCTATTCATAAACAGTGAAATGATCTATACATAGAAAGCAAGGAATGTGGATTAAAGATGAATACAGGAAAAGACTAAGCTGATGAACAGCCCCAAGTTCAAGAAAATGTTATCCCGATCAATTCAAGGATGGAAGTGAGTGCAGGAGAGGGGTAAATTAAGGATCAGAAGAATATATTCATCTTGGTGAATCCCTTCATTTGGAGGATTATGGTCATGAGAAGCAGATTAAAAGGCAACTCAAAGTGGCATGGAAAAGGTTTCAGAAATTTAAATGTAGATATGAAAAGCAACCAACCTACCAAATATGCTTGAAGGTATTTCAATCACTGCCATACTATAGTTTATGGACCAGAAACCTAGGTGACAACAACAGGGAAAAAAAGACAGAGGAAAGATTGAGTACCCTGTCATAGCATGAAAAGATGTGTTAGTAGAACTGGTAACTAGGACTGACAAATGGATATGAAATGAAGCACACTAGTTTCACTCCCAAGAAATGAAATGGTAAAATGCTCAATACTAGGATAAACACTAGCATGAGCAAGTAGATTATGACATCAAAACTGAAGGTGGAAAGAGCAAAGGAGACTTAAAGAGTTTAATAACAGCTGCCAAGTGGAAAAAGTACCTCTGCTTGGTTTAAATCAGATAGAGAAAGTAAGCACTGAAAAAATCTCTTTGTATTGTACTAAATGTAACAGGAAAAATCTTTTACTTTTTGATTTCCTGTCTTTCAAGAAAATTCTTCTAACTCTTCTTTCCATGAAATCTTCTGCTTTAAAGCATGAATTAACATAGGTGAACAGACAATAATATTCACAAAAAACAGACTGCTGACAATACAGTAAAATCATGGAAAAATAGTGGGAAATGAACACAGAACATAGTGTCTATGGGAGAATATATCTGTGTCAGGGATTTATAACTGAACCTTAAAAAGAAAATAAATTTTCACTCCATTCATTTAGAAAGCAGCCATTCTTTTCTGAAACTTCATCCTAACTGTTCGTTTTGTGAATCAGACTTCTGATAAAAATAGGGTTTGCCCATAAGTACCAGAACTATATAAATAACACTCAGCCCAAAAATATGTACTGAAAGCTAAACTTTTTATGAGAATATGAACACTCATCACAGGGGAGCTTGCAGATGTTACAGCAGTGGAGAAGAAATTGTAACGAGGTCTTCCATGGAATGCAAATCCATTATGCTACTACTAATATCATGCTAAAGGCCAGAGTGAGGTAGTGGACTGGGACATGGGAGATCTTCTGGGTTCTAGTCCCCACTCAGCCATGGAGCTCATTGGATGACTTTGGGCTAGTCACTAATTCTCAGCCTAGCTTACCTCACAGAATAAAATTTTGCTCATAGTACTACATTGATGCTGCTACTGATACCACACTGATAGCCAGTGTGAAGTAGTGATTTGAGATTTGGACTTGGGAGATGTGGGTTCTAATCCTCACTGAACCATGACGCTCTCTAGGTGGCTTCGAGGGAGACATTAAGCCTCAGCCTGACCTCCTTTGTATGTTTGTTGTAAGGATAAAATGGAGAAGAGCAGAGAGGGATTATATAAGCTGCACTGGGTTCCTTGCAGGAGGAAAAAAGGTGAGATCTAAATGTAATGTAAAAATATATTTTTTTCCTGCCACCTGAGCAACTCAGTAACAAGTATAATACACAGCCAATGATTTGTGAATTAGTGGGCAGGGTTATCTTCAGAGTGTCCATTTTCATAGATATAGCTAAGTGGAATTAGCCACTGTCTTTTCAGCCCAGTTACAGGTCAAGCTAGAAGCTCTAAGCTGGACTGCAACTATGAGGTGGGATGGAGCTGATGGCAGCTGCCTGGAAGTAGTTAGAGGATAGGTGGATCTTGGAAACTTCATTGGGATGGCACAGCTGGAGCAGGGTTGAAAGAGCTGGAAATTACAGGTGGATTTTGCACACAGACGGGAAGATAAATTAAGGCTGAGATCACATATTTGAACACGGCTTACCTGATTTTTTGGAGCTACAATGTGCCACGAACAGGTCACTCCTGCAGGGTAATCTCGATCAGGCCAATTGGGAGTTTTAAAGGATCCAGAAGGCTTATTTAGTCGTCCACCACAATACTGGTCTCCTGCAAATATACAGCATAATGCTAGGCCAAAAAAAGAAAAAGAAAAACATAGTTCTTCGTAGTTAGATTCCCCAAACCCATAGATAATTCATACAGTAGTCCCTGCCAAATCATAATTTTCTTGGGGCAAGAATTTTGTGCAAGAGTATACTGTTGCTTTTGGCAGTATACTCTTTGGGGTTGCCCAGCAAAATAATCCCCTTGGTTTACAAATAATTTTATGTGAAAGTATGGATCTTAGCATATCTACTCCTGTAACCTTCAAGAACTTGCAAAATACCTCTTTCATGTGGTTCTGCTGCAGAAAACTTTGCAACGAAGCCATTTCCAGCTGTATTGGCATCTGAAATCATTTGCACCAACATTTTATTGCTGTTGGCCACAAGAGCACCTGGTCTCAATGTGCCACAGAACCTGCCAAGGCGCTGTCCATTTGTGTGGCCATTGTACACATCCACAAAATCATATCTGCACAAATTATCACTTTCCAAATCTATGAATCTAAAGGAAAGAACAACCACTTTTCCTTCAGGAACCTGTAAAGAGAAAGAATACTAGAGCTTAATATTTTATCATGTGTAAATTGCCCTTTTGGTGTAAATGTTACTTCTTATACATTAATGAATTGCCTAATGAATCATGGTTTAGGATGATGTCTCAATACATTCATGGCTAGGCCAGATGTGTGCTACTGCTGCTTCAACCAATGTAATGTAGATTAATACTCAGATAACCCCTACTAGGTTTTACCAGTTGCCTAGATTAGTCATAGGGAAAGCATGAAAAAGAATCAAGTTTCTCTGCTGATCATTCATTCATTCATTCATTCATTCATTCATTCATTCATTCATTCATTTCAGCATTTATAGCCCCATCGGTGAGGGTGCTCAAGGATAGTCTGGACATGCACATGGTAGGCATGCCATGAGTGGAACTGGCTGGAGCCAGGGGTCAGACTAGATGGTCCAGGACGCCCCTTCTGACTCACTCTGTTTCTATGTTTTTATGATTCTAACAACCAGGTGAGTAGATATTTATATGTTGGATATAAACTCATCCTTAGTTCAGGCATTTGCTACTTTAAGTTACATGAAATCGATACCCATAACTGGGGGTTCCAAAATCTCTGTATGAGCAGAAAGTGCTTCAATGTGCAAACTGGAACAACTGCCCTTTTTTCCCTTTCTTCTGGCAGTAGTCCCTTGTGCTGCCTCCAATGCTTCTGCAGAAGGTCCTCAACAGGAGGGGGCATGAAGGGCTGCAGCCAGAAGGTTTATTCTAATATAATTCTGGAAAGCTTAAAGCATGAGTATAATTTTATCCTCATGTGAATCTGATTATTCCAAAGAAGTTCAGTTACAAGCAATCAGTACTCCCCAAAGAGCAACACATGACAACTGCTGGGCTCTGGAACTGCAGTCAAACTGTAAGTTTGACTTTTCCTCTTCCTTGCAGACCACAGATTCATCATAATTCATACAGATCTACACAACAAAGGACAAAGTACTGGGTATTAATTCAGTGTTGAAATCTTCTTGGGATGCTTTCTTTGGAAAAGGAAAACATATGTATGCATGAATATTTGAAGATATTAATCCACCCCAAGAGCACTAGCCAGGGGACTTCCACATCTCCCAGGTTTAATCTAATCTTTTCTTGGGAGAGATGTTTCACCGTCTAATAAGCTTCATTATTGTGGCCTGTCCACTCTTACAAGAAATTCAATGTTCTTGGTTTCTCTTCTCATGGAAATTTTCACTAGACACTCCAAGCATCTTCAAAGCTGGTGGTGTTCTAAAATAGAGCATATTCTTGTATTCATAACTAGCCCTGACCACCAGTACATGGATGTTGCAGATCTGATGACTGCAGTGGATCATTATAACTTAACCTTTTCTTTTCCTAGTTGCATGGCTAAGATTCCAGGAACAGCCTTGAATTGGAAAGTCTGGCTTCTGCATGAAGGAAGATGCCCAAGGAATAGTAAAATGCAAGAATATGTGGAGAATGCCAATTTATTTCAAAATCCTGGTTTTTTAAACTCATTCTTGCTCACTGCTTTTTAGATCTGTTAGGGTTATAGCTACTAGACAGAGTCTAGAAGACCATAAAATTCCCACCTCAAAAATGCATCCTGAGGTCAGAATTAGAAATTCGAACTTGGAGTGCCCTCTGTCTAACCTGGCAGCTGGCATGGAAAGAACCGTGCTGGCTGTGGCTCTGTGCTTGCAAAAACACACAGAATTTAATGCGTGTTTCAGGTGGCACATCGCACTAGGCTATGATGTATCCTCCTTGTGCACTGCAGGAAAAACCTTAGATGGCCTCCAGGCTCCTTCTGCCCTCCACTGGATGAGTTCAGAGATTATGGGTAGTCGCAAACATTTTGAGGCTAAAGCCACTTTAAAACTAAAGACATGCTTTACTATAAGAGTTCTAAAGATGACCATCATGCATAGATGGCAAGGGAGACTAAGATGGTAGCATGAACAATAAATTGCATGTATAGAAATGAGGACTGACCATTTTACATTTTGCAGCTCAGACTGTGTATATGCACCAAAGTTGAGAAAATCTACTTTTGAACTAACTAACTCACACTTAATCCTATGGAATTGTGAGGGTAACAGATATGATTTGCAGAACCGCGACAGAGCCAAAATTGTGGGCACTCCTAATTTGCAACATGCAGCTCTTTCCTATCCTTTGCAATTTGAAGAAAGAAAAACCATAGGTATGACCCCCACCCCCATCCAAAGGCTGCAATACTTTTTCAGAAAGCCAAATCCTGTCACATTCTTTGAATGGAAAATTTGCCTGGACAGATGTTGGCTTAGTTCCAAAAATGCTATTACCGTATATATAGAAGAGTTTAGAGTGTGGTAGTGCTCCACAATTTTTGTGGTAATATTTTCCCACACAAATATTTACTTACACCACTGTCTCAGCAAGAAAAGAAAAAATAACTGTGTTTGCAAACCTCCCAAATGATCAGAAACTAAATTATTGATGTTGAATCTAGCTATTCAGGTTCTGCTTCTGTGCTCATTTGAGTTGAGAGGATAACATCTTAGTTCAGTGGATTAATTCAACGCATTTCTTGTTCTGTCTCTGTACTTGACAGCAATAGTTTCCTTCCCATCCACCCATGCTCAGATGTCTGGAGTATGGGCAGACCTATGCCAGTCAACTGAATATTGTGTGTGTATATATATCAGCTCTCTTCTTTCACAGGCATCAAGGCTCCTCCTGCTACACATTTCCCCTGATAAAGCTGAAGCTAATTCCTACACCCAGTTCCCAACCTGCAGCTACAGTTCTATTCATAACTGTACCTGGACAGCTAACAGATATGTAGCTCTGCCACTGTTTTACCACTTACAGCCTTTCTTCTCCACGCTTTGTTAAGCAGTGCTCAATATGCTGTGAGTTTTTTCTGGTAAGGGAAGTTATTGCAGTTGCTATAGGGAAGAGTCTTCAAAACATACTTTTTGTCACCCGTCTTTTAATGTACTTCAGCTACAGAACATATGAAACGTATGCATTTAAAGGACCATGGCAGTCTAGAATGCTATTTTAATATTATATACTTACATACGGTCTGTACCAAATGTTCTTAGACCACTCACCCTAAATCACTAAGGACTGTCAAGAAGAGAATTCTTTTAAAACCACTGGTATGTGATGCTTTGTGTTTTGGAGCACTACAAATTGCTATACAAGAGACAGAATAACTAACAGCTGTGGCGAGTCCACAGCTCATAAGTTTTCTAATCTAGGCTGTAATATAATGCATCAAATGACCAGATTTCATGATTTATTTAATATTATGTTTAGGCTGTCTTTAAGGACACAACGCTTCTGTACCTAGAGGTATACAAGAATGGATCTTTTGACAGTAATATAGCATCTCCATCCAACTTCATGAGTAATATATCAGTCACAAAACTTCCCATCCAACTTCATGAGTAATATATCAGTCACAAAACTTCTATTTTCCTCTAAAACCCATTTATTACTAAAGTGTGGCTACTCACCTACTGCTGTTATAGCCATTACATTTTGCTTGTTTCCTGCCTATGATGATTATGTTGATGATATGAACATAGCACACAACACTTAGTGGTAAAGTTAGCACAGAGAAACTGAAAATGAGGCCAAGTAATAGCACAGGTGGCATTTCAGGAGAGGATCTGAGCCCAACATCCTCAGACACTCCCAGCTGGTGCTGGAGGCAATCCAGGACCACAGATCAGTCCAGTTCACCAATTCTGATCTAGAGGAAGCTTGTATGTTAAATTCTTAGGCAAAATAAAGTGCCTGCTAATGTATCCTAGCCAAGGAGCCCACATGGACTAGTGTTAAAGTCTAGATTCCATAACAGATTCTGATTTAAAGCAAGATCCAATGTCTATTGAGGTTAACCATCAAACTTTCATTGGGGATAAAGTTACAATTGTTCTGCAACTGAGGATGTTGACATGATCTATAGGTAAAATCCTATATAAGGCCTACTTAAAATAAACTAATGGATATAAATAGAAGCTATGATGTGGGGTGGAAGTGATGACTAACATAAGTCCAATGCATTTCATTGGGTTTACTTTAACTAGGACATAAGTTGGATTCTACCAGATTTTTGCCCTTGCTGATAAATTACTGATATGCTACCAATTTATTGTCATAGGCAAGGCATTCACCACACAATTCAAAGTACCAGTAACGCAGAAGCACCACATGCTATTCTTTTCAATGTGTCTGCTGCTTCCAAAAGTGCTTACTGTAATTTTCCAAGTACATTTGCTGTTTGGAGGGTAGACTCCTGGAAATCCTTCACTCCCAATATACCCCGATGCTCCCATAAGAATTCCACCACATTTAAATGACCTGGGATACAAAATAAATAAATAAAAATAAAACAAGTGTATTATTATTAGTATTATAAAACCTGGACAGAAGACTATTAAAAATGTACATAGCATCTGCAAAAAGCAACTAAAATATCTGTATCTATTTAAAATGTAATACAATATGTTGCCTGAAAGTGCTAACATCTGTGATATACAAACTTATTATGGATTAGTTAGATCTCTAGCATTGCGAAAGAAGGGAATATTTCATCTGTGAAGGGAGTTGCTAGATTTCAGGCAGAACTTCATAGGGCCATCACGCACAAGCACATACACACATTACACCAAGGTGATTCTGCAGCTGGTTCAGGTAACATGTTACAGGAAAATATTTTTATGTTGCTGCTGCTATACTGTTATTGTTGTTGTTGTTTAGTTGCAAAGTCGTGCCAGACCCATCATGACCCCATGGACAATATTCCTCCAGGCTCTCCTGTCCTCCACCATCTCTTGGAATCGGGTGGATTCCAAGCCCACACCCACCACCTCAGTGACTCCATCTAGCCACCTCAACCTCTGTTGTCCCCTTCTTCTTTTGCCGCCAATTGTTCCCAGCATCAGTGTCTTCTCCAGTGAGTTGTTCCTTCTTGTTAGGTGGCCAAAGTATTTCAGTTTCATCTTCAGTATCTGGCCTTCTAAAGAGCAGTCAGGGTTGGTTTCCTTTAAGATTGACTGGTTTGATCTCTTTGCAGTCCAAGGGACTCTCAGGAATCCTCCAGTCTTCTTCATACTGTTATTTTTTTGTTTCAATGTTTTCTAAGCACATCAAATACTATTGTTGCATTTGGATGAAACCTTAAAGCATGGTTCAGTGCAGAGGCATCCCTCTACGGACAGGATGGGCTAGTGGGCCCTTGCTTGGAGGCTACATGGCAGGAAGTGTTGTTAGAGCAACTACTGGGCAGGTCCTGGGAGGGGAATGGGCATGGCTAGAGCATCCTCCTTGCTCTTTATAGAGAAACACTCACACAAAACGTTCCCCCATTCAAAGGCATTGCCCTTCTCACATTCACAGGGAGGACTGGTTCACAGGGAGGAGAGGCAGTAAGTGGCAATGAACTGATCCCTTTCGATGCCTCACAGAAAGGAGCAAGTGAACTTTCTTCCACATCACAATCCTTCTCCCTCAGCCCAAGCAGCTCCACTGACCATGGATATGGGGCCCTTGACAGATTACTTGCAAGAGAATGCAGCCCTCAGTAGAAAAAAAAAATGTAACCCACATTGCCTTAAGCCATGTTCTGTGCCACTGGTACTAAGTTCAAAGTTTTAAATCACATTAACTGAAATTCTACAGGAAAAGTTGGCAAACATGCCATCCTTACTGAGGAATTTGAGTATATGGCTATACAACTTCATGGGAAACAGAGCTACCCAAGAAAAATATTGGTGGTAAAATTAAGCTATTTAAATAATCAGACTGAAAATAAAATAAACTGTAAAGCTTTAAGAAAGGGTTATTTGAAGGTTGCTTCCCTTTTCAGCAAGCCATGACACCTGACCACAGAACAAACTGCATCTAGGTGGGTAATTAGGCAAATGCACCAAGTACATGCCAACATGAGCTGCAGCTTCAGCAAGCAGCCCTGTGCTTGTGCAAAGCAGGCCAATGTATTTAGTTAATGAAAAAGGAAAATTTACCTGCAGTAAAGAGAAATAAGGTTAACATCTGTGTTAGCAGGCAAAGGAGACCGAACCATATGGTTGTAGCAGCCATGACAAAGTCACTAGGCAAAATTCAGTAGTGCTTCATCCCCATTTATTTAATTTGGAACAGGAGATGAGAGAGAATAAGGTGGCTAAAATACCCGACACAATACTTAGGGCAACAGCTTATTAACTGTAAGCAACCCACCAAGAAAACCCAGGGTTTGTTGTTCAGCTGTGAACTGTGGGTTGTCAACCACGGTCTGTTATCTCAGCTGTGTTCAGACAACATAACCCATGTTTCAATACCCCACTCACAATCCTTAAATGTGGAGTAGCATGCTGCTGGAACCCTGTCATTGTTTAATCTGGAGAACAATGCCTCAGAATCCAGGAATGCATACTGAAACCAGAGGCCTCTGGTTACGCTTGTTTGCCTAGGTGCATTCATACTACTCCTCCCTCTGCGCTCAAAGAACATCAAGCATGCACAGGATTGCCTCTCAGAGGAAAGCTGCACACACGCTGGTATAAGCATAAGGTGTCTTCGGATAACTGCAGTAGGGAATATGTTGGGTGCAACAGTTGCCAATAGGAAATATGTCACTATCGTGGTGCGCGTGTCCCTGTCATGGATAGGCTAGCCAGTGTAATCCTGTGACTCCCTGACACCTGCTTTAGATGTGAGAGGGGAGTCTTGAAAACTTTCTTCTGTCTTCACTTGCATTTCAAAATCCTGAGTATTAACTTTGTTTAAAGAATTCAAGATCTGCCTTGCAGGATCAGAGTAAGTGGAACATTCTTTGCAAAAACTGCAGCGATCAGTATGCACTAGGTGGCTTCCCATGTATCAAGCAGCGATCCACTGTCAGATTGTTCTCTCACCGTGATCTTCTGCTCACCCTTGACCTCTTACTAAGCCATGAGTATTCATTCACTTAATCCAACAAGTGCATTTGAAAAAGATTGCAACAAGCAAAAAAGAATTTTTCACCCATATAACACAGAACTGATATGCTGGGATGTGGTAAAAGTGGAATGTATTATAGGTATTTAAAAGGGAGAGGTTTTGATTCATTCATACGGGATTAAGTTAATCAACAGAATTATCTCATCTAGATTGAACATCCTGTTTAAGTTTACACCACTTTCACACATGGTCCATCATCTGAACCATCCTGCTCTTTTTGTGCCATACGCTAGTGAATTTGAACAGAATAGGAAGCCATAGAGAAACATGCATCTATCAAATTCATTCTAGACAAGGTAGGATTTACAATTGTCACAGATTTAAGTCAAAGATGTTGAGTTTGTAATCAGGTATACATTTACATCAGCTCAGAGAAAGAAGAATTTATGGAAAGCTTCGTTTTAGGGGTGCTTTGCATTTCCCGCATGGATAAAAGGAAAGCGTGTACAAATCCTCAAGTAAAGTTGCACACAAATCAGAGCCCCCACCCCGGTCCCCCGTTAACCACACAACCAGGGCTGAATCCCGGCACAAGGCAACCACCCGGAGCTTTTAAGAGGATGAGGTGGTGCGCCCACCCACTACGCTTAGATTCATTTTTGCTCGCCCTTCTTCACAGCCCGTCCTTGCGAGAGAAGACTTGCTGTTTTACTCTTCACAGTATGAGACGGAGCAACGCGCACCGAGACTTCGCCACGCCAGGCGTGGGGCAAGGCAACGGGGGACAGGCAAGCCGGGCTTGACGGGGCGGGAGCGGCCAGGGACGGTCTCTGCGGAAGCTCAGCCTGTGCCCGGGGACACTGGGCTCGGCGTTCCCGCGGCGCCGGTCCGCCCGGGGACAGTCTGAGCGGGCAGGGAGCAGGCTGGGGGCGTGCGCGCCGCCGTCGTGGTAACAGGCGATGCAGCGGGCGCGAGGCAGGCAGCGCGAGGCGCGCCGCGGCGCTCGTCCCCCGCGGGCGCGCGGGTTACCTGGGTCTTTGCATCTGCCGGGTGCTGGAGGGCTGGGCGGCAGCGACCAGCAGGAGTCCCAGGGCCAAGGAGCACGAGGCGGCGGGCGCGTTCATGCTGCTCTCCAAGTCCTCCGCGCGGGCAGCGCTGACGCCTCCTGAGCAGCGACGGCGCGAGCTTTGGTCGGGGGCCACCTTTATAAAGGGGCTTGCAAATGACGCTGCCCCTGGAGGAGTTGCTCTTCTCCGTGAATATCCCATTTGTTCGTGCTGGCGAGGGGAGGAGAGAAGAGCCACCGCTCGGCCGCCTCCTCCCCTTTGTGGTGAGCTGCGCTCTCGAGGCGGGACGTCCTTAGCGGTGCGGCTTCCCAAGGAGACAGCCGTTCAGGAAACCCAGCATCTGGCCCCGAGGGCGTTTCCTCTCCCGTAACTGGAGGGGGCAGCATGTAAATGGCAATGTCCCGGTCTGCTTCCTTTTCTCTGCCCAGTGATGCCTCACAGGACGATAGAAAGAAAATGCGTCCCCACACAACGTGCAGTTCATGTGTGGAATTCACTGACAGAAGTTGGACGACTGCTAGCTTAAAATGTTCGAGGTGGGGATGACATGCCTCCCCAGAGGTTCCCGGACTGCAACTCCCATCAGCCCTACCTAGCATAACCAATAATGGGAGATGATGGGAGCTGCACTTCAGCAACATGTGGCGAGCTGCAGAGGCCCTCTTCTGGTTGCTTATGCCAAAGGAAACTCAGACAGGTGCCTGCAAGAGAGAGGGCCTTTTAAGTGGTGGCACCCAGTTTATCGAATAAATTCATGGAAGAGGTAAGCCAGGCACCTATGTTGCTATGCAAAGGTCTTTCTTTTCTCCCAGGCACTTTAAAGACCTAGTTCTAAGTTAAAATGACTGTTCTATCTATTCCTGAGCTGGTTCTCCCCCTTATATTGAATTTTATTTCTTTAATGATTTCATACTGTATTATATACTTTAAAGTTACTATAAAATGCCATCTTAGTTTTTTACAGGTTGTACGGAAATCTACCCAAAGACCATTATTTAGTGGATAGGCTAAACAAGCAAGCAAGCAAGCAAACAAACAGAAACCACCAGGGCGTGGATACTGAGATGAGGTGGTCCAGGTTCCCACTAGCCCAAAGCTGAGATGAAAGTGTATTTCATGAGGATCCTTAGGCAAACCTATTTCCCTGTAGTTATAAGAGATGCCCAGATTTTAAGGGATTTGTGGTGCTTGTCAGAAGGAAGGTAGAAATAGAAATAGTGGTGCTCTGAACAGAACAGCTGCCCCAAGCAAAAATATTATTATTATTATTATTATTATTATAACATTTCTATGCCGCCCCTTGCCGAAACCTCGGGGCGGCTTACAACATGATAAAATACATTGAAATACAATAGTACATAATAAATTACCATTAAATATAAAAATACAAAAAATACATTGATTTACAAATACAAAATTAAAATTATCAGTATAAAATAAAAATATAGGAGGAGAAAGAGAAGGAAGAAGAAGTTGCCCAGGCCAGATCATATGTTTTAACAATTGAAATGATGTTTAAATAAAAAGGTCTTTACCTGGCGCCGAAAAACCAGTAACGACGGTGCCAGGCGGACCTCTTTGGGGAGTGAATTCCATAGGTTGGGCGCCACCGCAGAGAAAGCCCTCCTCCGGGTACTTACTCTCCTAATTTCTTTCATGGAGGGTTCCCGGAGAAGGGACTCTCCCGCAGATCTCAAAGGGCGGTCGGGCATATACGGACGTAAGCGCTCGTTCAGGTAGCCAGGACCCAAGCCGTTTAGGGCTTTGTAGGTCATAATCAACACCTTGAATTGGGCCC